TAAATTATTTATTTATTAGCCAATATTTTCATTATATTATGGCCATTAATCGACCTTTTCTTTTATTTTCCCTTACAAATGTTTGCATTCTGTGCGCGAAAGAAGATTTTTCTTGAAGACGATGTGAGGAGGACTAGAATAAGGACAGAAAATTTTTATGTTCATCATCTCTCTCGATAAAAAGTAGGTAAAGATTTGAACGAGAGGGGGAAGAGAGAGAGAAGTAAAAAAAGAAATAGGATTGGGTTATAAATAAATATTTACAATGTACAGTCGTCGACATAAAGATAGGGACAAGAGTAATTTAAATGCAAATTAACTATTTTTTAGTCAAAAAATACGTTCTATATATCAATCGAAAGCTCTATTCGTATCTCAGTTGACATGTTTCTGCATTTTTCATGAAAATGAAAATTGACCGAGATAATCCGGATCTACCGGATATACCAAATCCTATATCCTCGGAAAAATTTTTCGGAAAAAATTTAACGAACCCATTTGATAAAGCATATTTTTGTGAGTACTTACCACAAAACCGCTTAGAAATATCTTTTTCCGGACCAGAGATATGATTTTTTGAAAATCGCATTTTTAGCCTATTTTTGCAAAAAATTCAATTTTTAAGGGAAAAATGCGATTTTCAAAAAATCATATCTCTGGACCGGACAAAGATATTTTTAAGCGGTTTTGTGGAAAATACTCACAAAAATATGCTTTATCAAATGGGTTTGTCAAATTTTTTCAGAAAAATTTTTCCGAGGATATAGGATTTGGTATATCCGGTAGATCCGGATTATCTCGGTCAATTTTCATTTTCATGAAAAATGCAGAAACATGTCAACTGAGATACGAATAGAGCTTTCGATTGATATATAGAACGTATTTTTTGAATGAAAAATAGTTAATTTGCATTTAAATTACTCTTGTCCCTATCTTTATGTCCACTACTGTATATTCTTTTAAATTGCTGCAAAAAAAAGTTTAGTGGCTATTTTTGTTTAAGCTAATATTTTTATAAAATAAATATATAATTAATTTTTAAATATTCAAATTCAAGCTAGTATTTTCTAAATTATTTCATTACATAAGTACATATACTGTATTTTCTCGATTAATTCCCCTCCCTCGAATAATTACCCATATCAATAATAATCAAAACAACAAAATCTGTGCTTAATTCTTATAGCTTTCATGTACATCTCTAAATTCAGGAATGGGTTAAATTAACAACTCCCCGTCATCGACTAATTCCCCAACACATACATAGATGGGTTGAAATATTAAATCTCATCGGAATTAATCAACGGTAGCGAGGAGGATCCTGTCGCTCTGATTCACAAAATCAGGAATTTATTTTTTATTTCGACAGGATCCCTGTTATGAAAGAAAGAACTCTTAAATGACAAAAATTAAAAGAAAAAGTTTTTATTTGAATAAATGCCAATCGTTTCGTTTTACCGATAAGTATCAGAATGATTGTGGTGTTTAGAAACAAATACACACTTAAATAAATATCTAATACTGTCAGGTAATTCGGAATGAAAAGCATTTACTTAATTTGTGCCTACTCGGTCTCGGGTAGGGGACGCCGAGTAGGACGACTCAGGGAGAGTGTGCACCTCGTAAATGTAAATACCATAGATTTAATTGATAGTAAAGATATCTTTGTTCGTTAATTATATCGACAGTTATTGTAAAATGATTTTTAAATTTAGGGAACATTTTCAAATGAGGTAGAGTTCTTCTAAATACGGTATGTTGGTTTACTATAAAAGCACATGAGAAAAAGTGGAAACCTTTTTCGCCCAAATCATTCGAATGCAGTCTACAATCATTGCCGCTCTGCTTATCTTCATTTCATGCTCAACATCGATGCTGGTACAATGTCTTAGGGGTAAGAAGTCAGAATCGAAGAAGGAAGTTGCCAGGAAGAAGAAGGGAACAACTGAGGGAAGGAAGAAAAGCGGCAGAAAGAGGGAAAGCAACCAGAAATCTCCTACTCGTGAAGAGAAAAAGAAGTCGACTCCAAACAAGAAGTACATCAAGTCCAAGTCTTTCGATCAAAAAGAGCAAAAACCAAATAAATGGTACCATCTGCAGCTGCTCGTTCCAGTTACGACATACGTCCTTTCACCATACGGCAAAAAGAAAAAGAAGAGTGACCAGGCAAAGGACATCACGGAGAAGGGTGTGAAGACAGCTATTGCTATTTCTTCCGACCAACCTCCCGTCAAAGGACAACACAAATTCGAAGCTGTGAAGGCCGACGAGACTAGAAGGAATGAAATACAACAAACTGCTAAAAGTTTGGGGGGTCATGTTCCAACAGTCGAAAAAGCCACTTCAGACGGTAATGCTGTTAATTTGGTGGTTGGAGAAGCAATTGGCAACTATAAGGTCACGAGTCGACTTGGAGCGGGTAATAAAAATAACTCTTTAATTGTTTTCTCATTTCCTTCATTTCTAGGTGGGTGTGGTGTTGTCTACCGAGTAGTCTCAAAAGAAGGAAAGGATTATGCAATGAAGGTCGAGCGTACCAACATAGACAGATCTGATCAGCTTCTCCCTCTCGAGGCACATATCCTCAAGCGCTTGCAGTTTTCTCCTTACGCTGCCCAATTTCAACAATATGGGAGTTGTCAAAGTAATGTTTTTTTGCTTCTTTTTTCTAAATTAAATTGTTCTATTTGCAGCAAAGGAAGGCGGATTTCGTGTCCTCATAATGGGACTTCTTGGCCCTTCATTGAACGAATTACAAAAGCAACAACTCAACGGACGATTCTCAATCGGCACAATACTGAAGATTGGAATACAGGCAGTCCGGGTATGTATAGATGAATTCATTTTTGAAAAAAATTATTTTTGGTTATAGGCTGTTGCTTTTATGCATTCCACATATTTTGTGCACCGCGATATAAAGCCAAGCAATTTTGCAATTGATGAAGTTAACCACAAACGGTTGTATCTCTTTGACTTTGGACTTGCAAGATCAATAAAAACTCGAGGAGAAATGAGTTTGCGCAGGCCTAGACCAGACGTCCCATTTCGCGGAACTCCAGCTTATTGTAGCTTAAACGGTTAGTCTGATAGATTACAAAAACTTGTTCAAAATTCTAATTTCTAGCGCATAAAAGAAATGAGCACGGGAGACACGATGATTTATGGTCAATTCTCTATATGTTGGTGGAATTAGCTATAGCGCGCCTTCCATGGCAGGGCAAGACTCGAATTCTAACAAAGATACTTAAAGAACAATTAATGGATTCTCATTATATGTTTGTAAGTGTATCTAAAAAAAATTTCCCCATTTTAAAATTTGCTTGTTTAAGGGATGCCCTGTTGCATTTTCAACAATTTTGATTTATTTACGCTCGTTGGATTACTATAGACGGCCTGATTATATTGGAATTGAGCACGCATTTTTTGAAATGCTGAGAGCACGCAGATTAAGTAGGGGTATACAAATGGATTGGGAGGTTTGAAAAAAAAGAATAAAATTTTTAATAATTTTTTTAAACAATTTTAGAATCAACGACCTAAACAATATATGGGAGTCAGCGTACCTAATACCTCAAATAGCAGCAATAGATAAATAAGACGTAGATAAAATTAATGTGATAATTGTTCTGTTTGATTACATAAATTAATTTGTTGTTTAAAAATAAATAATTTGTTATTGTAAATAATTTGTTGAAAATAAAAGATTTTGTTTATTTGTTTGATGAAAAAAGTCCGAACCGAACCCAAAGAAAATTGTTGAAAACTTTAATGTCCTTAAAATGTTGTATTCTGAAGAAAAAAGCGAGATCAAGAGATCTGGAAAAAAAGAATAAAAGACCGAAAAAGCCCAAAAAAGCTTAGAGTCAAGACTCGACCACTTTTAAAAATGTTCTTTAAAAAAATAGATTTACTTATATGTAGTGTGGCAAGATTTTCGTATAGTGTGACTATTTTACGATAAAAGACTAATGAGAGAGAGTTTCCCTTGTTGACACACAAACTCTGCGACGAAATTGGCACTCAAATGGCTTGCGTTTGGCGAGAAAGAAAGCAAAAGAAGTGAGAAATAGTGTTAACGCTAGTTGGCGTATTTAAAAATTAAAAAAACACAACGCCACCAGATTTTCCGTTTAACCCGCCCCTTGGGCTGAACCCGTTTTATTTGACTTTTTTTAATTTTATTTAACTAGTTGACACGTATAAATTTTGTTCTTTTTTGATGATAAATTAAATAATTTTAAATTTTGGCAATCCCGGAGAATTGGGGTCCCTGCGAAAAAAAAGTTTAAAAATAAGAAAAAGGATTTTTCTAGGATAAAAAAATATGCTGATTACGAATCCGAGCTCAGATTTTGAAAAAGTCGAATCCCGAACCCGAACCAAATTTCGAACCCTGAACCCGAATTTCGAATATGCAAATGATAGCTCGTTCGAAAGAGCTCGTCGAGCTGCATCGAATGACACCAAAATTAACGTGATTGGACAAGTTTAGACAAAGTTATGACATAAAGTATACCTATGGGAGTACTGTAGGAGTCGGCGACTTATGTCATAACTTTGTCAAAACTTGATCAATCACTGTAATTTTGGCGTCATTCGATTCAGCTCGACGAGCTCTTTCGAATGAGGTATCATTTGTAAAAACTTTTTTTACTCGAAAAAATCACCCATGTGGTTTCTCAATATTTAGGGGTCTGTATCTCGGTTCAATCCGGTCGGATTTCATTGATTTTGGTGTCATTCGATGCAGCTCGATGAGTTCTATGATTCTATTAAAAGACTGGCCATTTTGTACAATGTCTGATAATGTTAGGGGTCAAAAATCCTGTTCGGGATCAAGAGTACGAATTCGGGTTCGGGATTCGACTTTTTCAAAATCTGAGCTCGGATTCGTAATCAGCATATTTTTTTACCCTAGAAAAATCCTTTTTCTTATTTTTAAACTTTTTTTTCGCAGGGACCCCAATTCTCCGGGATTGCCTAAATTTTATTTTAAAAGATTGATGAAAAGCATTGTATGGTTGGGGAACAAAAAAATAAAGGAACGGAACATCTCCGAAGCAATGTCGCTACCGCTATTGAGCATTACGCGTCAAAATCGTTTCGCGCATTGGATCCATCTGACATAGCACATTTACAACGTGTTTATCCAGAAATTGTTAATGAATTGAAAGGTTTATTTTTTGTTAAGATTTCTTTAAAAATTTGTCTTTAGATTCCTTTTCTCGTCTTAAAACGTCAGATGTCGACTGGCGTTGTGTTAAAAAGGAGGAGCGTCGTTTATTAAGTTGTTTGTCTTCATTTATTCATTTGGTTTCTGTGCGTAACTCCATTTTCTTGGTTTTTTCTATTTTCCATTTTTATTTTTCTTTTATTTTAGCTGCGTGGATTAAATCCAAGTTTATTTTCTTTGTTGTTTGAAATACTTCCAATTGACGATTTGTGGATAGTCAATAATTCGGCCAACACTCATTTTGCTTTATTACATCTCACGTTTACTTATGCACAAACGTTTGTTTCATTTTTTGATTTTTTTCTAAAAATATGTTTGGCTTGTGCCATTTTTAAATAAATATTTTAAACCTTTCAATTATTTAAAATTTACATCTTTTTGGGATTTCCCAAATTAAAAATTTTTTTCAGACATGATCAATTTCTTTCGAGTAGTGAACTTTTACAAAATGGGCATTCTGTTGGAGATAATTCTACCCAGATGGGTGTTGTTTCTTCTCCTTTAAAATCATCTATGTCGTCTACTGATCAATTAACAAATAAATATTTTGGACAAATTTTAGTCAAAATTTCTTCTCTATTGAATCTTTTTGAATTGTTAGATGCCCGAACACAATCTTTGGTTATCAGTTGGCTTTTGAAATTAACTTCTGGAATTTCTGATCAGTTTAGAGCTGTGAAAGAGGTAATTTACTGACAAAACTTTATTTCTTTTGTTGATTTTTATATCTAAAATTTTTTAAATTTTCCCAGTATTCTTTCAATTTTTATTATAACAAAATTTTTTTAAATTATTTTTCAGCTTAAAACAGTTTTTACATTACGTTCTTCAATGCTTAATACATTCTTTAAATTACATAAATTTAAATCACCAGAACAACGAAAACTTTTTCTTCGTTGTATGTATAAAATGCAAACATTTAATTTACTTCAACAAGACGATCAAAGAAGCCGTCAATTACGCAATAATTTTATTAAAGTATTTTTGCAGAATGCTTCAAAATTAAGTTGTGAACATTTTCGAATTTTATGGACAAGGACGCCTTTTACATTTTTGATTAAGTTTGTTTTTTTGAAATATTTCTAGATGGGTAGTGAAAGGAAGAAATATTTTTAAAAATTATTATAAATTATTGATATCATAATTTTTTATTGTTCTTTGATTACTCATTTTAAAACCTTTTTTTACTTTAATTTTGACATCGAAAAATTATTTTACATTTCCGGCATTCTTAATTATTTTTTCAATTATTTTTAGATTATTTGGTTTAATTGAATATAACCAACAACAATTTTTATTAAATGGACAACCTCAATTAGACAATTTCGAAAATTTAGAAATTCGCCAACAACAAAATTTAGGACAACCATTAATGGAAATATATGAATTTAATTTAATTGCAAATTTTCTTTTTAATCAAAAATGTATTGGAATTGAAATTGATGAGTTTATTTTTTTATTTTTAAAAATTAATTAATTTTTTAAATAAATAGATTAACAATCTCCAAAGATTGGATACAATCTGCATCAGAATTTCTTCGTGAAAATTTAATTCAATCAACTAAAAATCCAAAAAATGTTTTGTCTTTGTCATCTGAACAGTCAAATGTATAACAAGAAATTTTTAAAATTAAAAAAAAATTTTTTTAGCAACCGCCACCTTCAATATTAAGAGATTGGAATTTTATAATTGGGCATTTTGCACTTTATTGTATTGCAAATAGAATGCGCACTCCTGTTGGTAGCAATCCTCTAGAAACTTTTACAAAATTTGAAAGTAATTTTAAATAATCTTCAACTTTTTTAAATTAATTTTTATTTTTAGATGAGTTGCGTTCTCTTTTTGCTTCAATATTGCTTCGTAAGCCACAAGACGTTAAACAAAAGCAATCACCACAAGTGGGATCTGAAGAAAATTGGAGAAATGATGCAAAACCTGAAAATACCGAAAAAAGAGGTTTTCCCATTTTTCCCCCATTTTTTCATTTCTAAATTTTTTTTAATAGTTCTGCGTTCGGTAGAAGATTGGTTTCGCGTTCGAATGCTTCAATATTCAATAGAATGTATTGATAAATTTATGTGTTTTGCGATACGCGGTTCAGTTTTGGAAATTGCGGAAAATTTGGCTTTGGTATATTTTTTAAATTGTATTTAAAATTGTGAAATTTTTTTATTTTTAATAGAATTCCCGACAATTTTTTCTCGTAAATGAAAGTAGTTGTACTGATTGGTTTACTCGTACAACACTTCCACTTATGGGTGTCGCGTTTTCTAACGGAAATTTTTCTCAAATTGTACGTCTTGCTGTACCGATTTTTAATGAAGTTGAAAAGAAATATTCTTTATCTGGTTAGTTATTGTTATTTTAAAAATGTTTTTTTAATTTGTTTCTTGTTAGGCTCTCGAGTTCGATTAGACTCTTCAACTGCTTTTGTCATTTGTTGGCTTATTCGTTCTTTTGTTGAGTTGGGTTGTCCTCAGGCAATATACGGAGTTAAACGTTTTGCGGAAAAAATGTTTTTATCAGATGAACTGTCTTTTGAATGGTGTAAATCGGCTGCTTTAATGGCTGAGGCGAGGTTGGGAATTTTTTTCTATTTAATTATCAAAAAATTTAATGCTTTTTATTTGGCTTAATTTTTATAATTTTCTGAATTTGAAGGTTTTTAGGTGAATAAACTAACCCATGTCTATAAAATATTTTGATGTTAGATTAATAACTTTCTTTTTTTAGAATTGAGGAAGCATTAGAAGGCTTTTTGGCTTTTCACAAATTACAAATAAGTCAAAAAGAAAATAAAAAGGATGATAATGACGAATCTAAAATTGGCATAAAAAGTCAAGCGCATATACTTCGGGCTGTTGAGGAAATGGCATTAAGAGCTGCTTCAATTTTGCGAATTCCAAAAATTTCCAAAAGGTTGTTTGTGATAATATTTGCTTTCTTATATTTGAATTTTCAAGAATTTTTGATGCGTTTACTTGTCAACCAAGTTTAGCAATTATTGAAGATGACAAGGCAACAAAATTACAAAAACAATTTTATGACGTACAATGGAAGCGGTAAGTTTATAATTTTTAATAGAGATCGGAATTTTGAAAAAACCGGGACCGGGAAACGGGTTCTGAAGGTCGACCGGGAGGGACCCGGACCGGAAAAACCGGGAATTCCCGTTCCCGGTTTCATCCCGGTCAAAAATGACCGGGACCCGGACCGGGAAACCGGGAAATTTTAAAAAAATTTTAAATGCGTTTAAAAATTTTAAAAAGTTATGGGAGTAGTTATTTATTGAAAAATCTGATTTATAAATAAAAGAATTAAATAAATCAGTAAAATAAATCAATAAAAGAAATGTAACTACAATAAATTAAAACATAAAGCGGATTACGTAGGAGTAAAGGGCCAACCACCTATATCACCTGATATCTATTCAAATTCCTTCGATTGGAAGGCAATGATATCAGATGATTAAGGCAGATCTAATGGATTTAGAGGGATAAAGAAGGCTTAATCACCAGGTCCCTTGATAAAATCGCACTATACACTAATTTCCCTCAACTTTTCCTCCAATAATACCTCCAATTTTCTCCGTTCCAAATTTTACCGCGAAAATTTTGAGAATTTTGGAAGGCCAAACAGCCAAATTTCTTCCGTTTTCAGCGCCGCAGGCGAAAATTTTGAGAATTTTTGTAAAATCTACAATATTTTTAAGTCAAAAATCAAAACGCCAAGCAAAAATATTTAAAATTAGCTGCTAGAATTTTTCCCGGTTTCCCGGTCCAAAAAAAGCCGGGATCGGGAACGGGAAACGGGAAATGAAAATTAACCGGCCGGGACCCGGACCGGGAAAACCGGGAATTCCCGATCCCGGTTTCATCCCGGCATCTTCAAAAGAGCCGGGAAAAAGGACCGGGAAACCGGGAAACGGGACCGGGTCCCGATCCCGTTCCGATCTCTAATTTTTAATATTCCGAGAAAAGAATGAATGTATATGTTTTTGGTTAATATTAAAATTTGCAGTTTTTCTTATTTTATAATTTTTAGTTTGGTTGCTCTCTCATCATGGGATCAACTTGACCAGACCAGCATTGGTGAAAATCATAATCTTCAAAAACACAAATTCCTTGCGTGGGAGAATCGTGGTCGTTTAATTGACGCAGAGATTGAGGCCCTTCGTCTCTTTAAATTACGAAAGATGCGAATGTGTGGAGATTTGTATGAAGATGATGGGACTAATATAAGTGACAATCTCTTTGCATTACAAGTTTTAATAAATTTAAAAAGATTTATTTAAATTTTTTTCTTTTAAGGATGATTTAAGTGATTCTGCTCATTTTATTCTTCTTTCCGGTACAGAACACACCGATGGTTTAGAACATTCACGTTATGCTCTTTTACATGCTATCTGCACTGGTATTCAACATTTACAGAAAGGTGGTGGGCAACAATTTGTTTATTCAACAAGGCAATCAATGCGTAGTCCAAGTAAACAACAACAAAGCCAGAATGGAGGAATACCGGTCTTTCTAAAATTATTTTTGCTGAATTTATTTACTTTTTTTAAAGTTTTTATTGGAATTTGATTTTGCTGAATTTTTACGTGAATGGAAATCAGAAACGTTTCATCGATTAGAACTAGGTCAGATGTATTGTAGTTGGATGGAACGTTTGTATGGTGGTCAACAAAAAGAGCACAGCTATTTACTTCGAAAAATGCATCGAGATATGGCACAACTTGTAAGTTTTATTTTACAATTTAAAAATTTCTTATTGGTTTTGTTAAATTAAATAAAACTTTATTTTAGGCGATAGAATCAGGAAATTCTCAACTTGCTGCAATGCATTCGTGGATGACAACTTCTACTTCTCCATCACCACAGCAACAATATATTAATGATTTCGATCCTATTATTGCTAATGGTGTCAATTCTAGTATTAATTTTGCTGCTATGGTGCCCCAAATGCTGGTATGCGATTTACACAAATTTTTAACAATAAGAATATATTTAGAATTTGTGTTTTTAATTTATAATTAATTACCAATATAAAACCTAGGCTCTATTTTGCTTTTTATCTTTCAGCAGCAACAAGCATTTACTCCTGCGATATTTTCGCCAGGACTTGATCAGCAACAGCAGCTTTACTTTGTGCCTCAGATTTCTCCAATGGTTTTAATTAAATTAATATTTATATATTTTGCTATTTAAATTATAGATTCAACAACAACCATTTGACAATAAAACGATTTCGACTATTCCTCCAAATACAAACCAAGTACTTTTATCAGAAGAATTTGATGGTGATTCTATTAAATTATTGCCAAATGAAGTTTCCATCCTTGGACAATTTGGAATTGATACTTCCTCTGTTAATGGACGTCGATTTGAGCAATTACTTGGTGAGCAACCGTTATTTGAGGAATTCTGTAAAGAAGTTCGACGAGAATTTTCCTCTTCTAATAAAGAAAATGACGTTTCCTCTTTGGAAATATTTTTATGGTAAATTTCTGATTTTTATTTTTAAGCGTATTTTTTTAAAATTTTAGCCAACTTGAACAATCTGCTTTCAAAGATTTTTGGCTTTCAGTAAAACATCGTCAATATCGTTTATTTGAACTGGCACTTCATTCACATTTACTTTTCCTTGAAAATCTCTTTCCTGGAAAGAGTCATGTTCAGACAATGGAAGTACTTTTACGTTTTCTTAAAATGCTTACTAAACAGCCAGAATGGTTTGTAAGAATAATGAATATTTCTGGTGGGGGTGAAATGAATTTTTGGATGGAAAGAATTGCTGTAGATGTTTGGATAGGTTTTTAATATCGTTTAAAAAAATTTTTTTTTAATTTTAAGATGTCATTCCACAATTATTTTCTTATTTGAATCATTCTAACTCAATTGTTCGTAGTATTATAAGTTTATTACTTGACACAATTGGTCTTCATTTACCACATGCAATATGTTATCAAGCAGTCGTTATTGCTGAACAATTGGGTTTTTTTTTAATTTTTGAAAATTTTCTAGAATATTTTTTAGATGATTTTGACATTTTTATGAACATAAAAAGAAAGCAAAGTACAATAAAAGCGCTTGACAATAAGGACTGTAATGAGGAAGTTAATTCAAATGTTGATACAAAGGAAGCAGCAGAAGAATTATTGGATAATCAAGTAATTGTTGGAAATTTTTAGTTTTATTAGTCATAATCTAATTTTCATTTAAAGGAATCTTCATTAAAATGTCAACAAACTAATCTGGTTGAGTGTTGTCGCGTATTAGTCAATTCACTCTCTGGAAGTCATCCACTTTTGGTTGGTGAAACACGAACATTTTGGTTTGTTTTACAATTAGTGAGAAAAATAATAAACTTGTATTGAGTAAAATCTGTTGTAAATTAATCGATTTTAAATTAGATTTTAAAAAGTATTTTCTAATAAATTTAAAAACATTTCTTTATTTTTAAGCAATGCTCTTAAAAGAATTGCTCTTTTGAGTGATGAACATTGGCTCTATGTTCTATCTCAATTCGATCAACAATTGAATCGTCTTTTTAGAACTCTTGCTTCTCTACCAGCAGCAATGCAAACACAACAACATTTAAAGCAAAAACAAAATATTTGTTCTTATTTAGAAAAAGTAATACTTATATTTTAATTATTTTTTAAAATTTATTTTTGAGGTTCATTTTTCTTTAAATGCTCTTTTCAATAAGACTTGTGGTGATTGTGATGAGTTTACACAAAGTGAAAATGATCTTCAATTTATTGCTGATTTTGCTGAACAGATACGTGAATCTTTGGATATTCTAATTGAACAAAATTCTGTTGGAAATTATCGAAAGGCTTGGGAACCTTTTAGAAAAGTATTTTACTTCTTTGTATTTTAATATTTTTTGTTTTAGATTCTCTCTGATTTAAATAAAAGAGCATTAAAGCGTGCTTCATTGTGCCTCAATGTTGCAAAAATTTCTCCAATTCTAAGCGAAATGAACTCTACCGCTATTCCTTTACCTGGGCAAGAACATTGTCCATTTAATGAAATTGTTACTTTACAAAAAATGTCTCCTATAGCTTATGTCCTTCCGACGAAAACGCGTCCAAAGAAAATTTCTTTTATTGGAAATGATGGAAAAACGTAAAAATATATTATTTTTCTCAGCTAATTTAAAATATCTTTGCAGTTACACATTTCTCTTCAAAGGACAAGAAAATTTATATATTGATGCTCGATTGATGCAATTACTTCGGATGTGCAATACAATCTTCGCTGATCCAAAAAATCAACGTCAAATGGACACACGTCCTCCTTATCATACTGCAGCTACTTATTCTGTTACACCACTAGGTGCACGATGTGGATTGATTCAATGGGTTGAAGGTTCTACACCACTTTTTCAGCTTTATTGGAAATGGCGTGTCCGACGAGTGAGAATATTTTGAAAATAAAAAAATATTTACATTTGACAATTTGAGTTAATTTTATTTGGATTGATGAAATTATCAGAAATTATTTTCTGAAATTATTTTTTCAGAGACGATTTTTTAAATATACTTTCTAGACTAACATCAATTCCTACTTTTCATCTTTCCCTTTTTAATTTAAATTTATTAGTAAATATTTAGGCAAAATTTTTGGCTGAACTAGAAGAAAATAAACTAAATAAACAACAAGGAATTCCAAATAATGTACTAAAACGTGGCGGTCTTATTGATATTTCTCAGAAACAAAAAATTAATTTAACGGACAAATCAGCTATTACAACTTCAACTGAACCAGAGCGACCAATTGAGCATTTCTTTAATAAATTGAGGGCTGTGTTTGCTGAAAATGTTTTTTTATGTTTTTCTTTTTTTATGTTTTTTTATCAATTTTAAAGGATATTGCTAAAGAACGTGTGGCAGATCGACGTCGATGGCCCCCTAAACTTGTGATGCGTGTACTTCACGAATTGATTGATGAAACACCAAGAGATATACTTGCAAAGTAAAAAAATCTTGAATTGTAGTTTTTCTTATAAATTTTTAGAGAGATTTGGATGCATTCTTCTACTTCAGCTGCATGGTGGGAACGAACTCATAATTTTGCGCGTACTACTGCTGTTGCTTCAATGATTGGAGCTTTATTCGGCAATTCTTTTAAAATTATTTTTACGCACATTTTTATTTTTAGGACTTGGTGATCGTCATCTTGACAATGTTTTGATTAATTTAAATACTGGACAAGTGGTTCACGTTGATTGGAATGTTTGTTTTGGGAAAGGAAAACATTTGCGTGTACCCGAGATTGTTGAATTCAGACTTACAGGGAATATTGTGCACGCTTTAGGTCCAACAAAAGTTGAAGTTAGTTTATACTTTTTATGGAAATTTTTATAAAAAATTTTTGTTAGGGAATTTTCCGTCTCTCTTGCGAACGTGTTCTTGAAATGTTAAGAGAAGATAAACAAGTTCTTTTGTTGTTGTTGGAAACATTCAAATTTGATTCAATGTTGGACCTGAGTTCTTTACAGGCTGATATTTACTCCTAAAAATTATAATTTTTTTATATTTTTAGAGTACTTCCACAACTCGAAAAACTCACGAGGAAATGGCTTCAGACGTTATAAATCGAATTGAACAAAAACTTTTGGGATATGAATTAATTTATAATCGAAGCAATGCTCATTCCAAAGATATGGAAGGAATTAATAATAACAATATAATGGCGTCAGGAATGTTAAGATTGCCAAAAGTGAATACAGGAGAAGAAAATACAAATGATGAAGGAGAAGAATTAAATGAGGAGGATTTGAGTAAAGCAAGAGATCTCAAAAAAGAACCGACACCCTCTTCTGAATGGAAAGAAAGTGGACAATTGAGTGTTTCAGAGCAGGTAAAAAGAAGCATTTTACGATTATTTATCCTAATATTTGATTTAATTTAGGTTGATTTATTAATAAACGAATCAACTGATCTAAGCAATTTGTCGTTAATGTATGAGGGTTGGACTTCTTGGGTGTGAAAAAAATAAAATCAAAATTCCAATGTGTTATATGAATTGGGAGAGAACAGCTTTAAATTTGCTTTTAGGTAATTTATTATAAATATTTTAGTTAAGTGACAAATCATTTTTAGGAAGAAAAAAGCAGAACAGTTTCTCTCTCTCTTTCATTTTAATTAAAATCATGATGCGTCCACCATAATGAACGCTAAAATCCCAACAAATTTGTACAAGAGAAGTCATAGCACAAAAATGAGAATTTAACTGAATATATTTTTATTACTGGAATTTTTTATGGATTTGGTTTATTTATCTTCAAAATAATATGCTTACTCCCTCTACATAAAATACATCAAGAATCCCCAATTTATTAAAAATATCCTATTTTTTCCAATTTATTATGATATAATCAAACAAAAAATTATACATTTCAATTGCTGCTAAATTTATTTTTTTTTTAATTTTCTAAATCGAGATAAGGGTTATTCGAAAATAATTAACAGCAATTTAATATATTTGATTTACTCGAAACACTTTTTTCTTGAAAATAAATATTTTGATTTCATTAAAAAATAAAGTAAATATTATTTTGTAAAGATCATATAAAAATATTTAATAAAAATAGGATTTGGTTTCTAAATTCTTTTCACGGAACAAAATTTGAAAAAAAAATTAAATTGAAAAATGTCTTCCGAGAAGGACAAGTATAAACTTCCAGAATGGATTGGTTGCCCTCCAAAAGGAACACATTTGGATGTTACTAAAGGGCCAAAACTTATACAGGTTCATTTTCTAAAAATTTATTTGTTCGCTAATAGATCTGTTGCATGCGAATGTTTTTGTGTTAGATTAATCTAATTACAATTAATTTTTTCAGAAATTGCTGATTGATGAAAAAGGCTATTACTATTTTGGGCGTAATCCAACTGATTGTGATTTTGTAAGTTTATCTAATATTAAATTATTTTAAGTGTTTTGTTAAAGGTTTGTGAACATGCTTCGTGCTCTCGTGTCCATGCTTTACTTTTATTTCATAAATTGATAAAAAGAGTTGCTATTGTTGATCTTGAAAGCAGTAAATATTTTTCGTTTATTTTTTAATTGATCTTTTCCCTAATACACATTTTTTGAAAAAATGTTATTTTGGGTATCTTCTTGTCATATTATATTTTCTTATTCTATCTAATTTTATTTTTTCCCTTTTCCTTGAAAATTTTCCTGACTTTTCGGAAAACATTCACACTTTCCAGGTCATGGAACTTTTGTAAACAACATTAGAATTTCTTCACTTTCACCAGTGTTTTTAGACCCTGACCAGTGTTTTCATTTTGGAGCTTCAACGAGGCGTTATTTTCTGAGAGAAAAGGTAATTTTAATATTTTTAAGTAGAAATTCTTTTTTAGTTGATCAATAGAGATGCAGACAACGGGGAGGATGATGTCGAAATTGAAACTGGGTTTTCTGCGAATCAGTCAGAATTGGATGTAAGTTTAAATTTTTATTAAAGGAATTTGATAGGGAACACAAACATTTTATCCTTTTTTTGATAAATGCAAAGAATTATTATTTTTCTTTAAAGACCGTCACAGAATCGAATACAGCCCAAAATCGTCGAATCCCATTAATTCCACAAACAACAGATGACGCTAGGCGAAAATTACGTCCACGACCACGACTGCAATTTAATGAAGAAGAAGAAATTATTAACCCAGGTTTTTTTGTTTTCTAATTTTTAAACTTTTTTATTTGAAGAGGATGTAGATCCATTGGTTGGACGTTTTCGAAATATGGTTAGAACTGCGGTTATTCCAACTTCTGGACGTAAAAGAGAAGCTGTCGATGATGAAAATGAATTATTTGATTTTTATTTGCCAAGTCAACAAATGAAGAAGACGAGAAAAGTTTTTTATTTTTTATTATCTAAAAGTTGAAGGGAAGGAAACCGGGGAATCATTTCAGGAGGGGAAGGGCTAAAATGGAGGGTGTGCGGATGGTGAGGGTTAAGATGGTTATGTGTGTTTTTTTAATTTTAAATTTCGTAAGCGAAAAAATTTCACTTTTGCGATCATCCTTCTTTTGTTTTTTTTCTTTCTTCCATTTTGGGAGGATGGAAGGGGGCCCCTGGATACGCCTTTGATAGAAGTGAGGGGATTTATCAAATCTGTTTTCGAGTGGTAGTAAATACATACTTCAACGTTTCTCGGTTACCTAAACTCCTATGACGGTTTTTAAGGTCCCAGTCCCTTCTAGTATATTTGTTACCGAATTTGATGATTTCTATTTTTATTTAGTTTATAAATTTTTAAAGATTGCTTCTCCAGCAACAACTCCAAAATCTGGTGACAAAATGTTTTCAATTGGTTCATTATCATTAAACGCTGCACCTGATTTGGATTTGTAAGAAAATGTTTTTTTAAATATCTAAAAATTTAAATTTAGATATTCGCCTATTTTGCCTCCTCCAAAAATTTCTTCTGCTGGAAATACTCCAGCAGCAAAAGGAAAATATGGGCCTTTAATGCCGTCAAAAGATGCGAGTAAATTGCTTGGATTTGCAACACGTAATTTTTTAATTATTAAAAATTTTTTAATATTTATTTTCAGCCGATTCAGAAGTATGTCAAAAGAAGAAATATGCAAAAGAAGCATGGCCTCTCGAAACAAGACCTCGTTCTCATTCTGGGGTTATTTAAAAATAAAAATATTTGTTTTTGATTTTTCTTTAACTGTTATACAGTTGAAAATTTTGTTTTCAAAATTTTTAAAATTTAAATTGCCAAATGTGTTTTCTTTTAAGGAAGTTTTTCAGGTTTAATTTCACCTCCAATTTTTTTTAAACTTTACAGATTTTTTTCCATTTATATAAAAACTTTGAAACGGAAAAATATTGGATTTCAAAACACTCTTGGTAATTTAAGCAATAATATTTTTTTGTTCTTTTTTTTGAATTTTCATTTAAATTATTGTATTTTTAGTCTCATAAAAATTTTTTGTTTAAAATTTATTTTTTTATTAAAAATATTTCTTTAATATATTTATTTATTTAAAAATTATTTAAATTTATAAAATAATGCAAGTTAAAGAAAAAATGACTGATTTAATTGAAGAAAATGTTGAGGGAGAGGAACAACCTTTAAATGATGAAGAACTTATTAAAGGACATTGTGTTGAACTTTTTTCGAGTAATTTAAAAATTTCTTTAAATTATTTTTTGTTTAAATAGCAAAAGATTTTGTAATGGAACCACAAGTGATTACTACTTTATTGGCTTTCTTTCAGGCTGGTGGGCAGCCCGAAAAGGTGGGTGAATAATTGGATTTGTAAAAATTTTTGAAAGAATTTTATACAAAAAAAGATTAAAAAATTAATGTTTATTCTGCTTATATTAAAAGAAAATTTTAGAATTAAATTTAAGGCTACATTTATACTTTAAAGTTTATTTTACTCTTTTCATTTAAATAATTATTTTAAGGTTATTGAACTTTTATCAAATAATTATAATGGATTGGGACAATATGCAAATTTATTTGGTTTTGGTTCTGTTAAATTTAAAATTAATTTTTAAAAAAGGTTGTTGGCTATCAGATTTAGAAATGGATGGGGATTTTATTGAAACAATTAATAATGAACAAGAAATTGTTGCCTCAACCTCCTCTAATTCGGTATTATTAATGGGGGCTGATGTTCAACAACAAATTGAGTAAATATTTTTAATTTTTTTTAATTTAAAATTTTTAAAAGAAGTCTAAAAAACTATATCTGAATTTGTAGAAAGAATATTAATGAATTAATAAAAATAACCAAAGATTCGGTCTAGTCTCATTCCATGCTTTTTCTCCTATTTAGACACCCCCAAACAACCATTACTCATTTAACATTTACTGTAAATTTTTTGACTTTCCAACTACTTGTAGTCTTGCACTATAGATTTTACTTTTTGAGATAATAATATTTAGATTAAATTTTTAATTTTAAAATTCTACAAAATTTTTTAAAGACGTTGTCCTTCTGTTCGTGATTGTTTTGAACAAACAATTAGTCAAATGATTAAAAAACAATTTTCACCGGACGCGGCGGATAAAATATTTGAAAATGACGATGGAACAGAAGGAATTGATTGGCTACCTGAATTAATTTGGTAAAAGAAAAGAGATTTTGAAGAAATTTTAAATTAAAGTCATCGTTCCTGGCGTCGATTAATTTATGAATTAGCTGAACATTTTCCAAATTGTTTAATGCTTAATTTTGCTGTTAAATTAATTAGCGATGCTGGATTTCAACATGAAATAAGTAATGTAAATACTGCTGCACAACAAGTAAAAATTTATCAGAATTTTTATTAAAAAATAAAATTTTGTTTTAATCCTGATTCCATAAATCGCGAATTTATTTTTTAAGTCAGGCACTTTCCCTGATATGAGTTGGTTCTGGGAGTACATTAATTAATAATATGTATAACTCTCCAGAAAAACATTTTTTGGTGTTGAATAAAAATTTATTTTAAAAACTTACTGTAAACTGTTAATCAATTCCCTCCTTTTGAAATTTAATTAGAATTTTTTTTCAAATTTTTAATTTTAAAAAATTACTCTTTTAGTTAGATATATTTTCTCGTGTATTTCTTTCAACATTAGAACAATTACTTGAAGAATGGAAAAATTGTTTGGGTGATTGTCAAGTTTTAGCTTATCGGAGACATTTTGCTGAACTTAAAAGAGTTGCTTGTCATTCAGAACAAACATTTATGTACACACAAATGTTGTTAAATAATGTTGGATGGAAGGTAGGGAATTGGGGGGGGGTGGGGAGGGTTTTAAATTTTTATTTAATGTTCCTGTTATTTTAAATAAATTTTTTAAACAAAAAATAATTTCCTAATTATTTTTAAATTTACAAACAAAAACTTTTTAATTATCGAGGAAACCTTTTATTTTTATTTAATTTACAATCCACAAATTTACTCTTAATTAATTTAATTTTAAAGTGTAAAAATCAAAAACAATCGGAAATTTGTTCAAGTTTAGCCCAACAATTAAGGCTTGCTTTTGAAGGGAAAAAAGAAGATATTGAAGGTGTACATATTGGAATTATACAATCTTGTATAGACAAAATACCCTTACATATAATTCAAGTATTTATAAGTATTTTAAGTAAAAGAAGGATAACTTCTTTTATTTTTCAGGCAATGCAAACAATGTTTGCCAAAGGTTTAAACCCTGCAGATATTACCCAACTTTATCAAGTACTTTCTTTAAATTTAAAATTCAAAATTTCATTTCAGGCATATTCAAATCCAAACCCGCCCCCAGTTGTTTTAATTAGAGATCCTTTTTTCACAGAAATGCTTATTGATGGACTTTTCTCTGCTGTTGGAGCGAAAATACATTTAGAACACAGACCCAAATATATTTTTTTGGTTAATGATTTATTTAAAATTTTAACAGATTAATTTAAAATTTAGTTGTCTTATTCAAGTTGTGTAATTGAAACAATTAATTCTGAAGGAATTTTGCCTAAAAGAAAAGTAAATAAATATTTAAATAAATTGAAAAAGTAAATATTTTTAAAGCAAAATAAATTGGAATTAAATTCTACTAGAGAGAAAATGCAACAACTTGTGGATACTTTATATTCTTATGAAGTTAGTTTTTAAATTAAAAAAATTAACGAAATCTTTTTTTCCCCCAAATAAAGGATTTATTGTTGTCATTAGAACAATTATTAGAATTAATTAAATTGCCTGTTTTGTCTGCTGCCATTCTTCATTATTTACGGACATTTCTTATTCGTGAAGACGGTGTTTTGACAGAACCAATCCCTCTACATTATGTGTTGATTGATAAAATTGCTGAAAAACATTTTAATTTACATGAAAGGTAAAAAGAAATAAATCAGAATTTTTATTTTAAATTAATTCTGATTATTTTTATTTATTTAAAAACTTTATTGAAAAAGCAAAGAAATTCTGAAATTAATTCTGAAATAATTTTCCGGAAGTACGTAGTAAAGTTTTCCGGAAATTAGAGATAAAAATATACATAAAAAATAGAGAAAAATAATTTTTTGTTAGAAGAGTGTTTCATTTATTTTTTAAAAAAGAGTCTTTAAATTACTCTGTGCTCTCTACGATCATTTATCTGGTCAGAATGAAGTTGCAGAAATTATAATGGAAAGGCAAAGACAAATTGTTGACCGTTTTGTAAATCTTTTATTTTTTGGTATGGCAATACCTGTTTTGGTTGGTAATTTTTGAATGGGAAAAATTTTAAAAAATTATTTTTTAAGGAAAAAATTGTTGGAATGTTTAAATCTGGGTATATTGACGTTTCTCTTGTTAGATATTTTGGTATTGAAGTACTTGAATTAGTTGAACAGCCATACTCTCCCCAATTTATATCTGCTTTACTTCCGATTGTGACAAATAAAGAAGTGGGTATTTTTAGTTTGAAAAAGGGGAAATTTAGAAAATTTTTATATTTAATAAGAAGAACAAAATTTCAAACAAAAATCCCTTATTTTAATTTTACAAGTACTTAAATGGGGATATAAGAATGATATTTTTTTAACAAATACTTGAAAAATATTTTAGTAAATTAAACAGACATTTTATAAGAATTAAAGAATTTAATAATTATAAAAATATATTTTTAAGTTAATCTAAACATTGTGTAAATCCGGATTAATTTAAATTTTATTTTTAACTTTAAAAGTTTTGTAAGAAACTGATGGCTTTGACTTTTCGAAATAATTTTATTAAATTAATAATATTTTGGGAATTAATATAATATAATAAAAATAAGATTTAATTTAAAAAATTTCTTTAAAGGTATTCGATAGAGCAACATTTGAAAAACATCCAATCGCAAAAGAATTTATGTTATTAAATTGTGGTAATAGTAAATAATAAAAAAAGTTCTGTTGCTTGTAAAAATTATTTTTGAATTAAATTTTGAAAAATTTAAAATAAATTTTGTACATACATATAACTTTTTATACTATTGTTTGAACTACTCATTTTCATGAATTTCAGGTTTCCGGTTTTTAAAATTTCGTAAAAACTGTTAATTTTTGTGGCAAAAATTATTAAATATCTATTAAATATTGAATTATTAAAAATTTTAATATTAGACTGATTTTAAAAGACAAAAATCTAAACTGTCACTTTATTAATAAAATAAAAATTATTAATTTTTTTCTAAATTAAAAATTAATTTTTTGATGATAAAATATAAACTATAAATTTTAAAATTAATCCTGTGAGGCAAAATTCTAAAATTATATTGTGTACGTATATATTAACACATCTGCTTTAAATTTATTTTAAAATTTAAATTTTATTTAAAAAAGGAGTGCCTTTAAGGCGCTGACTTTTAAAGTTTTAAGATATTTTGATTAAATTTTTGATATTTTAAGCATCTTTAAAAATTCAAAAAAATATTTTTTAATTAAAAATGAAAATGTAAAGTTTAAAAAAATATCAGAAAATATTTTTAAAATGTAAAAATCTAAGAAGGAGGACCTCCTAGTAAATTTATGAAAATATGTATATTAATTATCTAAATAAAAAATTAAAATTTTAAAAATTTAATTTTTATTTAAAAAAGGTGGGCTTCAAATTTTTTTAATTTTCTCCACTGCGCCAAAACGTTCCCTAATAATTAAAATTAATTCTCAATTAATTCAGAATTCAAATTAAAAATATTTTACACGATGGCAATTTTTAATTTTAATATTTATTCATTTGTTATACATATTTACATACAAACTACAAATAAATTAATTTATTTAAAGTAATTTTAATCCCCATAATTTTCATTTTAATTATCAAAATTTAAAAAAATGTCCTCCTCCTCCTCCCTCCTTTACTCCTCTCTTTTATTAATTACCTCAACGTTAATTGCTTCTCAAAAGATTGGAACAATTCAAATGAATTTACACCAATTTGCTCGTTGGGGAAGTATTAAAATGGGGGATCAAAGTAAATTAAATTGGAAATAAATTAAATTTTAATTTTAAATAAATTGGGGGAGTTTATTTGGTATTTTTGAAAATTTTTAAGGAAATTCTCCAAAGAATTTCTGCTAATGGTCTCTCTAAATATGTATCTCTCATTTATATTTTTTAAAGCTTTCCAAGTTGCATTCAATATTGGCTCTCCAAATTCTTGGCTTATAGCTAAAAATGCTTCATTTAATTGGAACGAGCAAGGGTTACAACGTAAAAAAGTTAGATATAATGGAAGGTAAGTATTGAAATAATAATTATTTTACAAAATATTTTCAAGTTCAAAAACATCAAAACCTTTGGAAAAGAAATTTGATTTTGGTGGCCCTGTTGGGAATTTGTATACTGACACATTGACGGTAATTTTAAATAAAAATAATTTAATTTTAAGGAATTAACTATAATAATTCATTTTAATTAAAAAACTATTCAATTATTATAAATTCTTTTCATTCTCCATTCCCTCTCTTTTTCCAATTTAGATAGACTCCGTCCAAATACCTCAATTTCCTTTTGGAGCAGTTACTTCAGGAATTCCCAGTCAATATCAAGACCCCTCTGGATATGATGCTTTGTGCCCCATCGATGGAGAATTTGGACTTTCCCCCGCCACTGGAACTTCATCTTTAAATTCATTAACTAAATCTTTGGACAAACCAATTGTTTCTATATTTACAACAAAGTAATTAAATTAGAGGATATATTTTTTGAGAATACAAGTTCCCTCCCTTGCCAGGTTCAAACTAGAAAAATATGTACTTTTTCAGTAACTCCCCCTTCTTTGAATATTTTTATTTAAATTCAAAGTTTTTTAGTCAACGGGCGGGATTGAACCTGCGACCTCCTTGCAGTTATTGCTAGGTACCACTGAGCTACCGGGGCATCAACTCCTTTTTTTCTTTTTAGATCGTTTAACCCCCGCTTAATCGTTTTAGATGCTGCTAGGTGAATCATCCTTACAATATCCAAAATTAAAAGGAAAAATTAATAAAATAAATTTTAAAATTAATTATTTATTTTTAAGAGTCGGTACTGGTGATGATAATGCTGGTTCAATAACTTTTGGTTCAGAAAATGTTAAAAACTGTAAACCAAAATATAGCTATGTTCCTTTAGCAGAACGTTCAAATTGGGTTATTGGAGTCCAATCAATTAACGTTAATGGACAACCTTCATTAAATCCTTTAGGCCCAACAAAATTAAAAATTACAAATTCCGGTCTTTACATGTATGGACCAAAAAAGCAATTAGACATTTTGGCAAAACAATTAGGATTTAATATTCCAAAAGATTCTGGAACTTTTTACACAAAAGGATCGTGTAATGGAATGGAAAAAATGCCAAATATAAATATTAATGTTGGAGATAATAAAAAACAGGCACAAATTATTTTGAAACCAAAACAATATATGGAAGTGGTTAGCTGCTTTAATTTTTGAAAAAATATTTTTTAATTTCCCATTTTTTAGTCCCCAATAGGAGAATGCCGTTTTCTGTTTATGACAAGTGAAGGTTATTCCCCTTCTGAAGACAACAATTATTGGAGTATGGGAGCTCAATTTTTATTAGGGCGTTGTGTTGCCGTTAATTGGGTTGATGGAACTATGGGATTTTCTGATGCTAATTAAATAATTAAAGAAATTGATGAAAGGAAAGAGAAGAAATGAATAAATTAAAGAAATTAATAAAATTAAATAATTGTAATAAATTTTAATTATGTAAATGATTTCTATAAAGAATTAATTCAATTATTAATTAGTAGACACAAAAAAGCGGTAAACTCTCCAATAAATTCACTCCTCTTTAAAAGGTGACTCGGAGGAGAGTAAAAGGCATTTACTTGATAAAATCTTTTCTGAAAAATGAAATTTGGCAAGTTTAAAGCAAATTTCAAGGGCTTCCGAAAAAGTTAAAAATAAAAATTTAAAACAATCCATAAATAGTCGAAAATATCTTTTGAATTTGAAAAAAAACTTGTTTTACATTGATTTTTAGTAAATCAAAACCTCGACTCTGAAACCTCGAATCTCGACATAAATATATATGTGATTCATTTAAAAGTAAAAAAGGTTTTCTTCTTTTAAACATTTTATATTTACATATACCTATTTATCAATTACATGATAAAGACATTTTAAGCGAAAAATATTATGTTATAAAGTTTTTAAAAATCTCCAAATAAATCTTCAATTTAGCGTTTTTATTTGTAATTTTTTCATTTTTCTATGTACATTAAAAATTTTGTTTGGGAACTTAGGGATAAGTAGTTGATTACTCAATCTACAGTATGTACACAAATTACCCTTTTCCATTTTCATGATCTTGGCGTTTTGTCCTTTTAATTTTTTTGTCAATTTATTTTTATTTTTTTCTTTGTTTTTTCTTATTTTCAGTTTAATGGTTCAAGCTAGTGTTTCTCCCCCAGTTCCTCATTGGGAACTTGGAATTGGCTCTATTGCTTGTCATGCATGGAATAAAGATAGAACACGTTGGTTTTTTTAATTTAATTCAGCTACTAACACTTTGGTGTAGTGGGAAAAATTTAAATTTTTTTTGATTAGAGGTTGGAGGTTTGAATCCCTCAATCTAAAACAATTTTTATTTTTAATGTAATTTTTCCTATAATTTTATTTGAAATATTTCTAATTATTTTAACATTTTTTATATTTTATAATTTTTTAGAAATTGCCGTCTCTCCATCAAATAATGAAATACACATTTTTGAAAAGTCTGGTGATTGTTGGCGTTCAATACATATTCTTTCTGAACATGATTTGCTTATAACAGGAATTGATTGGTTAGATTTATTTTGTGTTTGGGTTATTTTTTTAATTTAAGGGCGCCAGACACAAACAGAATAGTTTCTTGTTCTCACGATAAAAATGCTTTTGTTTGGACATTTGATCCCAAACAGGGACAATGGAAACCGGAATTAGTTTGGATTCGAACAAATCGGGCAGCAACTTGTGTAAAGTGGTCACCTAAAGGTTTTTTTTTAATTTTTGTAATTTTAAATTAAAAATTTTTAGAAAATAAATTTGCTATTGGAACTGGTGAACGATTAATTGCTGTTTGTTATTATGAGGTATTTTTTCTAATTAAAAATAATTATGAGAAACATTCCCGAGGGTGTCGGGCAACTCAAGGAATACCAAGTCAAGGAACAGACAGCTCAAGAAACGACCAATTCATTGAACGACCAGATAATGGAATATTTTAAAAATCAATTTAAAAAATTCTGAAAAATTCTGATTTTTAAAATATTTCATGAGTTGGTCGTTCCTTGATTTGTCTTTTCCTTGACTTGTCTGTACCTAGAGTTGGTATGGTTCGTGAGTTACCTCGACACGATTCCCGATTTGTTTATCAAAACAGAAATTGTTTTTTTTATTTTACTTTTTTTGTCTTTATAATTTCTCAAGTAAAAAAAATTTTTTTTAAATATTTTAACAAAATTTTCTTTTCTTTTATAGCGTGAGAATAATTGGTGGATATCTAGACAAATTAAAAAACCTATTCGTTCAACTGTTATTTCTCTTAATTGGCATCCAAATAATGTTGTTAGTTAATTTTCTTTTAAATTATTTTTAAATTAAAATTATTTTTTCAGCTTTTGGCAACTGGTGCTTGTGATTTTACAACTCGAGTATTTTCTGCTTATGTTAAAGAGGTTTTTCTTTATTTTGAAAATAAAAATATTTTTTTTAATTACAGGTTGATGATAAACCTTCACCAAATCCTTGGGGAACTAAAATGCCTTTTGGTGAATTATTAAAAGAATATAAAACTGGTGGTTGGGTAAATGATGTAGCCTTTTCTCCTTCTGGATGTCGATTAACTTGGGTAGAGATTTTTAAATTACGAAAAAATATTTTGATAGGGAAAAGGGGAGGAGGGTAGGGTTACAAAGTTTTTAAGTATTATCTTTTCTTTAAATTTAAAAAAATAATTGATATGTTTTTAAATCGAAATTTTTCTTTAAAATCTTCTTTTCTTTATTTTTTAAAAAAAGGTTTGTCATGATTCAACAATTTCAATTTTTGATTCAACCCAACAGCAGCTAACAATCACACAAAAAACACCCTTTTTGCCTTTTACTTCGGTTAAATGGATTAATGAATCTGAAATATTGACTGCTGTTTGTTTTTTAATTAATTAAAATTTTATTAATTTGAGAGAAGCTTAATTTTAGAAAAACTAAACAAAATTATATTTTTTGAATTAATCTTAATTTTTCTTTTCAATAAATCTATTTTTAACTAAAATTTCTATATTTTCAGGGTTTTGATTGTTCGCCAATTCTTTATAATTTTGACGGTTCTACAATTAAATTTATTTGTAAATTGGTAAACAAATTAAAAAACTTCCAAAAAAATTTTATTTTAAAGGATGTTCCTTCAGAAAATAAAAATAATCAAGCAAATGTTAATAGTGCCTTTGCAATGTTTCGAAATTTTGATAAAAGGGCAGCTGTGGCAAATGGTGGAGGGGGAAGTGAATTTGGAATCAATAATTCTTTGAATAATTCTTTTGCAAAAACTTTACATCAAAATACTATTTTGTAAGTTTTTTTTTAAAGTTTTTATATACATATAAAATTGGCTTTTTAATGTCAATTTATTTTTAATTAAATTATTAAACTTCACAATTTAAAAAGAAATTCCCAATTATATATTTACAAACAAATATATATTTATTATCACAACAACATTTTATGTATATATATCATCATCATTTTCCTCTTTATTTCCAGTCTCTCCCTCCTTATCATCTTCCTTAATTTCCGTATTTTTAGTTTCGGCTTCTGTCTCCACTGTCAAGTTTTCTGCTTTCTTCTTGTAACTTCCTTCGTCTTCTTCAAAATCTTTCAATTCCTCATATTTATCATTTTCCTTCTCATTTTTTACTTCTTTATCTTCCTCGCCTTCCTTCTTTTCATCATCATCTTTAATGTTTGTAGCCTCTACTTCAGTAATTCCTTTCATTCCTTCACTTTCTTCAACATTTTCTTCCTTTCCTTCAGAATCCTTTTTTATAACCAAAAAGTAAACAGCAATTCCAACGCCAATAATTATCAAAATACCAACAATCACAATAATTAAGGTGTTGTTAGAAGAACTTTTGGTAGTTGTTTCTGTGTTTATTGTTGTTGTATTGACGTTTGTAGTCGTTGTAGTCACCACAGGGACGTTGGAAATTGAAGCTATTAAGGGTCCAGTTGAATTTGTTTTTGTAGTCTCTTTGGAAGTTGAGGTTGTTGAATCATCTTTTTTGGTTCCAGACGTTGTAGAGGGCTGTACAGTTTTTGTTGGATTATTTTTTGTTGTTGATGTTGCTTCGGTGGGTGGTGGTGGAGGAGATTCTTTTGTTGTTGTGGAAGAAATGGAGGTCGTCGAATAAGTAGTTGAAGTTGTGGAAGAAGTTGTGGTTGTTGTTGAAGAATTGGAATCTGTCGAAGTGTTTGTAGTAATTGGAGAAGGATATTTGATCAATTTGTAGTCGCCCCCAATCTAAATATTTAAAATGATAAATGTATTATTTAATCACTTAACTTACAAATTTTATTGTCAAATCATCGCATTTAGGTCCACTCGGCAGTCCACTTTGTTCCTCATATTTACGTTTCTTACTTTTAATCCGGTTAAAATTTCGCGATGCCCTTTGAGGGAGAAGATGGAAAACCAGCAAACGCTTCTTTTCAGGATCTGGATTTGTTCCGATGATTTCCCATGTTGAAGGCGAAAGAATGTTATCAAATCCATCCTTCATGCAGAAAGCTTCTTTTTGATAAAGCTGTCCAACTTCCTTCATAAGTTTGATGTGATATTTTTGTTCTTTCTGATTGATTACCACTTGCACATCACCTTTTAATTTCTGCGGCAGTGGCTGTTTAATGACGTAAATAAATGATGTACCAACTGTAAAATAAAAATTAGCTAAGAAACGAAAATAATTTACTTGGATTTGCATATAACCCCATACGGTCTTCGTCTTTGGTGTTTTTAGAATACTTCCATCTAATTTCTAGACCTGTTTTATTGACACACATGCCTTCTCTGCACCCTGGATCACACCCATCACCACCAAATTGTGGACCGTTGTTGAAGTCCTTGATTTCCTCATTTGTCAAGCTGTAGGCAAAGGGTAATCTAAAAATTTTTGAATATTTTTTTTCACATGCTAAACTTACATGTTGTCATTAATATCATTGATACTCTTATTTGTACAATCAATAAGTGCAGTAAAATGTTTCAATCCAGCTAAGAAGATAATTTCGTCTACTTTATTCGTGAGAAGGTCCACCGTACATCCTTTATCCTTTATAGTCCCCTGACTTTTGTAATGGAGAATACTTAAACAAAAAGAGTAATTTACATAAACTGTAAATTAAACTTACATATTTCCGACAGGGTCAAAGTCAACATCGCATGCATCGGCGAAACTCTTCTTGTATTCTTCTAGATCTTCTTTGGTTGTAACAACCTTTGAATCAGTTGTAAGAGTAACTTTTCCTTCCTCTATAATATGATTCCCTAGACCGACGCTTTCCGCTTTTGTGTTAAATTGTCCAGCCAACATTAGAACAGAAAAGGAGAGACCCACGATGTATAACAACATTTTTTGATGAAGATTTGTGAAGAAGTGTGATTTAATAGCCAAGGCTTATTTTCGGCTTTTATAGTACTTATATGGACACATTTGTAGTTACTAAAACATGAGCTTTTTTAGAAAATAAAATTTCTTTAAAAAATTAAAATTTTTTAAAGTCAACAACTTAAAGGCTATAAATACCCACAATTTAATTTTCAAAATATTTCTAAAAATTAGAGATTACTAAAAAAATTTTTTTTAATCTTCAGAGAATTAAAACTACATAGCGTTACAAATACTTCAAGTAAATTCTCTACTTGTAGTGCCGATGGAATTATTGCTGTTTGGGACGTTAATGTTTGTGTGAAATTTTTTTTAATTTAAAAATTTAATTATGAGATGATTTAAAAATAAATATTGAGAATTTTTTAGGGGAAGAGGAATAACTCCATTTTCCCATTAATTTGACTAGAAAAAATTAAAACAGTTTTTCGATTAAAAATTTTAAAAGCATTTTTTCCTAAATTTTTTGAGAAAAGTATTTCATAATTTAGGAAGTTTTGCAATATTGTCAGGTTGGGAAAAAAGAATATAAAAATATTTTTGTGTGTTTTTTTTGTTTGAAAAATATTTTAAGTTGGGGATTTTTTAATTTGCTGTTTTTATTAATTTTTGAATTAACAAAAAGAGTTTTTTAATTTAATAAAAAATATTTACAATTTTTTAAAAAACTAACCAAAAACTTTTATTTAAAAATATAGTTAATATTTCTTTTTTTTAAAGAATCTTCAACAGAAAAAATGAAGCAGCTTGTGTTTATTTAAAGAAAGGGAGAAATATGTAATTCTGCCTAAAAATATTCTTTTGCTTAATTAAAAGTTTTTTAAGTATTTTAATTGAAAGGATTAATTTTGATTTAATTTTTAAAATTAAATTTTGTGATAAAAATCACTAGTAATTTTTACTTTTAAGAGTATTTTATATTAAATTTTGTCTACAATTATGCGTACAAATAGAAAGAAAAGTCTCCATTTTTTACGGAGTCATTGAATTTTAAATATTTTCCAAGTTTAAATTTTAATAAATTTTTCTTTTGAAAAATCGAATGGTCATCTATGTTATTTTTTTATTCATTACTCAACATCAAAAATAATTTTTTTCTGTTTACCTTTTCTCTATTTTTTCCTAAAAATTCTTCCTAAAAATTAATTCTATTTTAAATTTAATTTTAACGGAAAGATTGGAAACAAAAATTTCAGAATTTTAAGATAAAAACAAACAAAACATTAACTGACACTTTTACTACTCAAAATTACAATAAAATCTTTTTATTTAAACAACACAAACACCTACTAATTATTTATTTATTTTCCTCTTTTTCTACCCATTCTTCTTCGTGTTTGGTTCAACAGTTGTTGCATTCTTATTAATTTTTGAATCGGCAGAATCATCCTCACAAGGAATACAAATACCCAATTTTGTAGTTTTACTTTCACCTTCCTAAAAAATTGAAAAAAATTTTCTCTTTTTTTCTTTTAAATTAACTTTTTCCTTAATTGAGATGAATTCTTTATTGAATTTCTTAGCCTCACAATGAGATTCAATTTTTGCTCCATTTTTGTATTTATCACATTGGCAGGGTCTCTAAAAAAGATTTTTTTAATTTTAATTTTTTCCTAAAAAAACTTACAAGAACAACATAATAAGGACATTTAGCATCCTTATTAGCATCCATGACTTTAGATTCATTTGGTTTAATAATTCTATACATACTTAAAATAAATATTTAAAATTAATTTTTTAAATAAAAATATAATTTACAATTCCATATGTTCATTCTTATTACAATAACGGTTGCAATATGACTAAAAAATTAAAAATTTTAGAAATTAAAAATTAATTTTTTTATAATTGGTTTAAGTCAATAAGTGTGGAACACTTAATTTCTGTTACAATTTAAAATCTTAAAGGTTTCTACTAGGGTTGGACAAAACCGTTTAGCTAAACGGTAAACGGGTTTTTTGGTAAAATTAAACGGAACGGTAAACGGGTCTCAGATAAACGGCATAAACGGTATACGGGGTTTTAAAAATTAAACGGTATTGTCCAACCTTAGTTTCTACTATTAATCGAAAATAGAAATTTAATTACGGATGAGCTAAAATTGGCACTTTTCTGCAAACTCTATATTGACTTCTTTTTATTAAGAATATGTAGTAATCGAGAAATCAAAAACCCAATAAATGCCCCTTTCAAAAACTTTCACAATTCTATCCCAATTTAAATTTCAAAAATTAAAATTTCCTCACATAATCAAATTCAGGCATAGAACCATTAGCAAACGGATAGATTGGACAAACACTTTGAAAATATGCCTCGAATTTGCTTCGTCCAGACAATAAACTCTTGCGCTGTTTAGCATTGTAAATTGCCCTCTACAATTAAATAAATTTTCTTTTTAATTTTTAAAAAAATTATTTCTTACATTATACCAAGACACATTCAAACCCATGAAAAAGATGAGAATAAATCCAGCTATAACCAAACAAACCTTGAAAAGAAAAATTTTTTTTGATTTTTTTTGTATTTTAAGACTTACCCCACATCCACAATAACCATAGCAATATTTACGGACAACAAATTTGTTAAGAAAATGTTTTTTCTTCCCACGTGAAGCCGTTTGTCCACTCGTTGCAGTCATTATTTAAATATTTTGAAGAGAAACTACAAAAAATTTAAATAAATTTAAATAAACTTTCCGGAAAAAAAGAGAGAGAGAAAAAGAATAAATAAGTTGGGAATGTGATGTTGGCTTTTATACCAAGAAAAAGTACTCAGATAATTTTCACTAAAAATTCTTGAATGCCAATTAATTTAAAGGATTCGAGATATAAATGACAATTCTTCGGTTTACCCCTCTCCATTTTCCTGTTTTTTTGAGTTTTTTTTGCTTGACCTATAATTTAGCAAATATCATCCGAAAGAGCTCTTCGAGCTGGGTAGAATGATACCAATATCGGATAGATTTGATAAATCTTAACAAAATTAAGAAGCTGGATCCTCTCTGTGAAAGCTTTTTGTTCCTCCGCTATACTGATTCTAAATTGAAAAAAAGAAAAAGTATTTAAAGGAGGGAATTTGTTAAAAAAGATTCTTTTAAAATTTTTAAAAAAATCCAAACAAATTTAAAAATTTATTTAAAAAACAATTTTTAATTTAAAAATAATAATTTTATATAAAAATATATTTATTTATTTATTAAAAAAATTTCTCTCTAAAAAATCTTTTTATTAAATTTATTTTTTCTTTCCAAAACCCCTTCCATTTAATTTATTGAAATGCTTGAATCCCAGTTATCGCCTTCCCCAAAATCAATGCATGGATATCATGAGTACCTAAATTTTGAAAAAAAATTTTAAGGAAAATATTTAACACCTTCATAAGTATTTACTGATTCCAAATTAACCATATGGCGCATTATCTAAAATTTAAAAATTTAAATTAAAAGAATAAATCTTTACATGATATTCATCTACAATTCCATTACCGCCAAGAATGTCCCTCGCCTTTCGTGCAATATCCAAAGCTTTACCGCAAGAATTTCGTTTAATTAAAGAAATTTGTTCTGGAGCTACTCTAAATTAAAAAAATATTTTTTTCAAGCTAAATTTATTAAAGGAAATAATTCTGTATTTAGAGTTTTAGGGAGGAGAATGAGGAAAAATCATAGGAAACTAATTATATTAGTGAATTTAAGGGAATTTTCCTTCTTTTTAAGACAAAAGTAAACATACTTTCCTTCATCCTTAAGACGAGATACACGCAAACAAGCTTGTAGCCCTATACTTATTTCACTTAACATATCAGCAAGTTTAAGCTGGACAAGTTGAGTTCCAGCAATTGGTTTGTTGAATTGGGTTCTTAAAAGAAATATTTTTATATTTTTTTGTTAAATAAAAATAAACAAATAAATTATTTAAAAAGTTGTCATGGAAACCAAAATTTTTATTTTAAAGAATATTTTTTTTTGTATAAATTAAAATATTTAAAAAGTCTTTACTAAAAATGTCTAAATATTTTTTAAAATTTATTTTAATAATAATTCTTTTTATTTTAATAAAATTAACAAAACAACAAAGAGAAGATACAAGAATAATTAAATGGCAAAATTCTGAAGAATGTAGAGAGGTAAATTAAATAATTTAAAGATATGTATTAGTGGAGGAGGGGGAGAGTAAAATATGTATAATTTAAAAAAGTTGGAGATTGTAAGGGAAAACGACGGAAATTAATTAATTGAAAATAAGGATGACAGTCGAATAAAGGAGAATTTTAACTAAATTAAGCCCTCTCTCTCTTAAAACAAAATTTCTAAAAATAGTTTTTCTCAATTTAATTTTCACAAAATTTTCCAAAAAGAATAAAACAATATTTAATCCAAATTTGATGGAATGTATATCTTGTAATGGATTAACATTAAATGAAAATGAAGATGAATGTGTTTGTCAATTGGGAACAATTAATAAAGGAGATGAAATTGAGGGGATATGTGAAAAATGTGAAAATGGTTATTTAAAATATTTTTTTTAAAAAACTTTTCGAAAAAAAATTCAGGCTTGGCACTAAGCAAAAACAACCAATTTTGTGTTTATTGTGTAAGCATTAATGGAAGTTTATTACAACGAGATAACAACGGAAAATGTCCAAATTGTGGGAAAGATGAAATATTACAAATAACGGGAGAGAAAGAAGATGGAAGTTGGGATTTTTGATAAAAAATAGGTACTTTTCCGTTATACAACCGCTACCTGACAATAAAGTGCTGACGACTTTGATCTTATCGAAGGCTTTCGAAAGATGCTTGTTCCAATACAAATGAATTTTATATCATTCGAAGGCCCTTGATAAGCGGTATCTTTTCTCCAACTTAATGGATCAGGTTTGATCAACCATTAAAAAGGTATAGCCGATAAAAGTTGGCTGGCACTCAGTTTGCGGTCGTATAACGGAAAAGTACCGAAAAATATTTTTAATTAAAAAATTATTCTTTTAAGTTCCAACAGAACAATGCATTAAATGTCCAAAAGGAACAATATCAGATAATAATGGGGAATATTGTATTTTCTGTAAAAATGATTTTGAATGTTTTTGTAATAATTCTGGAGTAATTTAAAGAATAAAAATAAAAATAATTTAAATTTAGAATTCAGCTATTTGTAGTCAGATAACTTCAATTGAAGTCCTTTCTACAATTCCGTTATTGCCTGAAATTAATGAGGGAACAGAAAATTCCTATGGAGAAAAAGTAAAATTCAAATAGAAATTAATTAAAAAATTATTTTTTCTTTCTTTCAAAGCAATTTATTTCTGAGACAATTTCCCAAAAAGTCCAAAATACAGCTTTCCTTTGTCAACAACAAAAAAGTTCAAAACATTGTCAACAACTTGCAAACTTTTGTACATTACAAGATTACCCTAGAAGAATGGATGGAAATGGGGAAAGTTGTTGTGCTTTGTTAGAACAAATAAAAAAACAATTTAAATCAGAAATGTGAATCAAAATTATTTTTAAAATACCTAAATTTGTATTTTAGAGCAAAACAATTAATTCCTCAACTTTTCTATACAAATATTGAAGCATCTGCAGAAATATTTCGAGAGGGGGCAATTAATGGAATTTTTACATTTAACGAAGAAAAAGATGAAAAAAATACAAAATTAGAAATAATTGCAATGACATTTAATGAAAATGGGAAATTTCTTGGTGAATGGACAGTGTCTAATGGAGAATACCCAATATTACAAATTTGTAATTTTGGTATGCAAAACAATTTTAAAAAATATTTTTATTAATTTAAAGAACAAAAAAGGGAAGAAGCATTTAAATTTGGAAGGTATTTTCAACAAAAATGTCAGTTATCTTTGTTGGATATATTACGTTGGAATAAAATTTGGGAGGAGGAAACAAAGGAAAATGAGGAAAAGAAGTTTATTTTTGGGACAAAAACAATATTTTTTGAATTGTATTTACGTTATAGAAATGAAGAAGGAATGATTGTGGTTAGTTTAGATAAAGTGTTTGGAAAGTAAAAAATTTTTTTTTCGTATTCGTATCTGAGCATTTCTCCACTCCCCCCTATTCATATCGTTCACAGGTATGAGTAGGAGTACAAATCTTGATACGAGTTTCCAAACACTGGTAGAAACATATCAAAAATTAAGAAAGAAAAAAAAATACAAAAATTAAAATTTCTCTATAAAATAAAAATATCTAAGAGATATTATAAGAGAAAAGCACAAATTTAATAAATATAAATTCCATAAAATCCCTTCCTTTTTACAAAAAAACAGCTCACACAAATTCCAATACTCAACGAAGACTTAAAAGGTGACCAATATATTGGCTTATATGGAAATCGTTTAGGAGATAATATTTTAAAAAGTAATGCTCGTTTATTGTTAACTAAACGTTTTTATTTGGTTGATATACAAAAAAATATAAAAATAATAAAAGAAGGAGATAATAATGAACAACAAAACACCCAATTTTTAATTCGAGTACCTAAAAGAATTAGTTTACACATTCATTTTGATCAAACATTTGATGGCCACATTTACACTCCATATTTACAACTCTCTCATTTTCAATATTTAATTAAATTAGAAAAAAATATTTCAAACAAAAACAATACTCAATTACTCACAAAAACAATTTTAACTACAAAATTTAGTATTGAATATCACACAGAAAGTTATACTTATGATAAATGTATTGAAGTAATTATGGCTACATTATGCTCGTTGGCAGCTGTTTGGGCAGCATTGCAAACATATAGGTGGATAAAAAAAATAAACAAATCAGAATACTTAAGAGGAGTGGGAAATAAGTGTTTTGAATTTTGGAGAAAAAATTTTCAAAACTTAAAATACAAATTAAAAAAAAAAGAAAAGGAGAGAGAGATTGATAGAAATGAGCTTAAAAAGAATAAATTTTAAAAATTTAATATTCAGTTGGAGTCGCCGTTCAGGAAAATTAATTTTAATAGATGCTTCAACAATAATAAAATTATTATTTTTTGGTGCTGATTATATTGGAAATATATTTATTGGGGTAATGGGTTCTGCTTGTATTTGGTTAATTTATGCATATAAATTACAAACAAATATTCATTATATTCCTTTAAGTGGAAATCAAGTTTGTTGTTAATTAGAGGATTATAATAAGTGTAATCAGAGTAAAAAAGAAGTTGAGATTAATTTAACAAAAGTTTTCGATAGAGAATTAAATTTGTTATTAAATCTTAAAATTAAAGAAAAAAATCAAAAAAAAATTTAAAATATGAGCGATTTTTGGAAGTTTTTCGACAAAACTTTTTTGTTAACAAAAAATTGAGATAAATTTTTTAAAGGAAAATTCATTTGTTGCTTATATGATTTCTGCTTTGGCATTAAAAGGAATTGCTTTATTACATACAATGTTGACATTAATTTTGGTAAAAACTTTTTTTATTGACTGGGAACGTCCACGCTTATTTTTGAATAATTTTGATGATTTTGGAAAGAAAAAATTATTTGAAGAAAATAAAGGAAATGAAATTGAAATTGAAAAAGAAGAGGAAGAACAAAAAGAAAGAGGAGATTTAAATAAAGTTGTTATTTGGTAGGTGTAAATATTTAGGGGTTAAATAATTATTTTGAAGGAGAACATATTTAATTGCAAATGAATGGAATGAATTACAATTATATAGAAAAACAAATATTGGAATACAATTAATTTTAATGCTTTTTGTAATGGAATATTTAAATTTTGGTGAATGGGCAAAAGTTCAGCCAGGTTTTGGAAGATGTAAGGAAGGGGGTTTACCGTATTTACTCTAGTAATCCCCCAGGGGGATTATTGTTTCAACCCATCTCTAGAGTGGGGAATTAATAGAGACTGGGGATTTAATAGAGGCTGGGGGATTATTGTTTCAACCCATCCGTGGGTGGGGAATTGTCTTGAGGATTGAAAATACGCCATTAGAGTTCTGCTGCAAAGACTTCTGCTGCAAAGAAATTTCGGTTGGATAGAAAAAGCATCAGAGATTGGATTAAAAATGAAAAGAAACTGGAACAACAATAAATTCCTCGCCGAATGGACAAAAACGTAGGAGACTCGAAGGAGGTGGCCGTCACATTTTGCATCATTAACTGCGATATAGAGGGATTTGCTTGAATTAACAGAGATATAGGTGAATAACACGTATAAATCGAGTGGATTATGTTGGATATCTGGAATTTTGTGATAATTTTTATTATATCGGGGAATTTGTGAGATAAAGGTTGATATCTAGGCATTTTCAGCAGGATCGACGATTTTAAGGGATTAAAAGTTATATCGTAGGATTTAGTAGGATATCTGGAAGATTTCATGGATAAAGATGTCTCTCTAAACTAAAGCTTTCTCAGAAAATTTATATCTCCTCTAAAACCTCTTAATCCACATTAATCCTCACAGATCCCCAAATCTTTTAATCCATTGATATCCCTCTAAATCCGCCAATATCACCCTTAATTCCCCGATATCCTCAAAATCATCACGAATTCCCAGATATTCAACATAATCCACCCAATATATCCGCCTTATTCACTCTATATCGCAGTTAATCCAATAAAATCGGCTTTTAAATACCCGCTATCTCTTTACAACCCATTTTTAGTACACTGACCGATTGTCCATTTGATTATTAATATTGTTTAATAAATGTACAGACTGGGAGATTATTGTTCCACCCCATCACTAGGGTGGGGAATTAATAAAGACTGGGGAATTATTAGAGGCTGGGGGATTATTGTTTCAACCCATCCCCAGGGTGGGGAATTAATAGAGACTGGGGAATTAATAAAGACTGGGGGATTATTAGAGTAAATACGGTAAATAAATAAAGATTGGATTGAAAAAGGAAATTTTGGAAAAAAGAGAAATAACAATTATTAAATAGATCATTTGGTATTTAACAAAATATTGAGAATTTAAATGCTGAAAAATTCTTAAAATAAAGCAACCAAAATTTTAGTCAGAATTTCAAAAATACAAAATTAATAAAAATATCAAAAAAATATTTTTTAAAAATTCCCAAAAAATAGATAATCAACCTATCGGAGTTATTGAAACTAAAATGAGCCGTTTTGCAATAAATTTATCATTTTATTTAATTATTGGAATTACTCAATGGATTATACAAGTTATTGTGATTGAACGTTTAGCTGATCCATTCCGTAATTTTATGGATTTATGTTCAGTGGCTAATATAAGTGTTTTGGCATTAACACATCCTTTGGTAGAGTTAATTTTTATTTAAAAATAAAAAAAATATTTTCGAAAAAAGAGAGGCTATTACATCCACGGACGTTCAGTACATGGATATGCTGATACAGATATGTTACAAATGAATACTTTTCTTCAACGAGAAAAGGTAAAAAATGAGAATTAAATTAGTAATGGATATGTGTGAAAATAAAATCAAAAAACAAGATAAAAACCAATCAACTTCGATAATCTGTCCCTAGGGAACAAACATGTCCCAAAAATCTAAAGATTTTGTATTATCAAAGAAATATTAATTTTAAAGAACATCTTAGCAAAAATTTCAATTAAAAAGAGAAAAAGTGTTTAATAATTTAAATATTTTTTAGGAAAATGTTTGTGCACTTAGAGGTCTTGAAAGTGGTGCTGATTTACAAACATTTATTTGTAATTTACCTTATATATTTAATGAAAGAATAAATCAAATATTGGAAGGAATGAATTTAAAAGGAATTGGGGATTTTAATGGAAGATTGCAACAAAAAAGTATGTAAAATTAATATTTAGTGGAGATATTTAATGTTAAATTGTGGGGAACTTCTTAAAGTATTTAAAGTTTAGTATAAAAAAATAGTTAAAAATATGTGAGTAACATGAGAATTGACGGACAAACTCTAGGAAAAACTTAAATATTCTTTAATTAATCAAATCCAAAAAAAAACAATTTAAAGGTGGCCAATTTGAAAGAACAACAATAAAAATGCAACAACAAACAAAAATATATAAAGAATTAAATAATTTTTTAAAAGATTTTATTAATCGAGTAGATCCAAAATGTGGGGAATATAAATGTATTGATGAAAATTTTATTGAGGAAATGTTAAATATGGAATTAATTGATACTGGAAAAATTGGGACATTTAGAAGGTAAAAGAAGAAATTGAATGGAGGGGGAAGGGGAGATGATGTTAATCAAAATGAAATGAGATAAATAGAAGGGAAACGTGAAAGCTTAAAAATGACTGGAATTTGATAATAATCCAATTTCTCTCTCAAAATTAAATTATTTTAAAGAGACAAATCAGAAATGGCATATAGCTCAGCATTTATTTATGGAAATGAATGGGCATTAATGTCTTTTGAATTATTATTGTTTTGTGTTGTAGATATGTTTTGGCTAAACAGAATATTTGCTTCTGTTTTTGTTTATTTAATTTCAAAATTAATTTTATTAATTACAAAAATATATTTTACTAATCAACTGGCTAAAAGTTGTTTAATTGACAGTAGATTTTTGATTTGAAAGTGAAAAGGAGAATAAAAGAGATAAATATTTAAGAGTTTTTGATTAATATTTTTTTTAAATATTTAGAAATAAAAAAAGAATTCCCAATTATATTTTTAAGTCACCCACCTATCCATAGCATAATCCCTGGCAGCCTGAAAACAAGCTTCAGCCGCTCCAAGCGCTCCCCAACTAATTCCAAGTCTTGCATTATTTAAACAACCAAAAGGCCCGCTAAGTCCAGTTGCTCCTTTTAATTTAAAAGAAAATTAATTCCAAATTCCCTCTACCAGGCAATAAATTCTCTTCAGGTACAGCAACTTCATCCATTAAAATCTGTCCGGTAATTGAAGTTCGTAAAGATATTTTTCCTTCAATTTTGGGTGTTTCCAAGCCAGGCATTCCTTCTTCCAAAATAAAACCCTTTCAAATTTTTAAAAAATATTTTTTAATTCAATAGAAAAAACACACTTTAACGGCATTTTCGTGTTTATCACTCCGAGCCCAAATGATAAAAACATCGGCAACTGGCGAATTTGAAATCCAAGATTTTGCACCGCTTAATCTGTTTAAAAATTATGTGAGTTGAAGTTGACCCAGACTCGGAAAAAAGAAACAAAATATTTCCCTCACTTGTAAACTTTTTCTTTTTCATTCCAAACAGCCTTAGTTTCCATTCCTGCAGGGTTAGACCCATGATTAGGCTCTGTAATGCCAAATGCTCCAATTTTCTCACCACTAGCCAATGAAGGAATGTATTTTTGCTTTTGTTCTTCACTACCTTTTATTAAAGAATTTTAAAATGAAAATTTAAGTTAAGTTCTAGTGCCTAATGTTTAAGCAACAAGCCTATTTATTTCAAAATAAATAATAATCCCTTGACCATTTTTAATGATCGAACTTGAAACATTTATAAAACTTTCTCAACTTTCAATTAAAAAATTCCCACCATATTGAAATAAAGGTCCAATAACCAAAGATGTTTGTACACTCATAATTGAACGATATCCACTATCAACACGTTCCAATTCTCTAGTAAGTAATCCATAACCAACAGTAGAAACACCTGCACATCCATAACCCTTTTATTTTTTAAATTATTTTTTTAAATTTATTTTTTAAACTTTATAAGGCGCGCCAAGAAAACCCATTTTACCAAGTTCTGGAATCAATGTTGGATCAAATTCTGAAAATTAAGAAAAAGTTATTAAAAGCAGCTTTGTGATTAATTCCTTCAATATAAAATAATCAAAAAATAATTGGATAATCCGAAAGGAATTTGCATTGAGAAGTGTTTCAAGAAAGTCTAAATGTCGGAAGAGTTGGAAATACCACAATAAAATTGGAAATCCCAATTCTCGATGAAAAAAAGAAATCAAGAGAAATTTTGTGATCCTCTCGAATCGACCAAAAACGGCATTTACTAACTAAAATTTATCTTTTTATTTTCAATTTTTTCCTGAAAATTTAACATTTAAAAATTTTAAAAATAAAAGTTTTATTCCCTCCTTACTTTCTTCTCTAAAAGCTTGTGTAACTCTAGGCATTAATCTTTCAGTACAATAAATTCTAGCTTGATCTCTAAGTGTTCGTTCTTCTTCAGTTAATTGATCATTCAAACAAAGAGCATCCAAATAATCAAAATTACTTTGATAAGGCATTTGGGTTGTTTGATTTTTTAAAGAATTTATAAAAATATTTAATGGAGTGAGAAGAGAAGAAGAATTTTTTGTGAATAAAGTTGTTGCTAAAATAAAAAAAAATGTTGGGAAAAAAGGAAGAGGGGGGAAAGGGGGGAGGGGGAGAAGAAAATAAAATTTTATATTTAAAATTTAAATTTTTTTTCAAAACATCCTCTAAAACTAGGGTTCAACATTTACGGTTAGGTGGCTGTTTTCAAGGGGACGGTGGTTGCGGTGGTTTTTGCCACGGTGACAGGGGCGGTGGCTCTGGGGGGAGAGCCTCCCACCGATCCCGGGGACGGTGGCTGAACGGTGGAAAACACCTCCTCAAGCTTCCTTACCGGCCTTTTAAAAAAGGTTAATTTTAGAATTATAAGTAAAATATTCTCTCAAAAATATAAATTCTTAAAAAATAATATAAAGAAAATAAAAAGTTCTAAAAATATTACAGCTCAACAATTAAAGAATTAAAAATTTTTTTTAAATTTTTAAAAATATTTTTAAAAGAATTTATATTTAGAGGAAAAATAAAAATAAAATTTATTTTTACTTCCAAATAGAGCAGAGATTGATTTTATTACAATTTTTAAGATTATAATCTCTAAATATATAAAAAATAAATTACAGAAAAGGTGATTATTAGAAGAAAGAAAAGTGGGTTGGGTTTTCATTAGTATTAGCTATTTTAGAGTCTTAAGATATTTTAATTGGACAGAAATTAATTTCGAAAAATTGGGAAAGGGAAGGATTGTTTTTGAAAGAACATACCCCCCCCCCTCTCGTTTTTCTCAATTTCAACAGGATACGAAAAAATAAATTCGAAATTTGTAGAGAAACTAACCCGAGACATTGGCCTCCCCAATTAATTAAACGGAAAAAGCTCACGCCATTAAATTTAAATCAAAAATTAACTAAATAAACTCACCTTCCCTCTGTCTGCTAAAAGAATTTTGTCTTATTTGCAAAAATGAATAAAATAATTTTTGTTGTTTAAATAAAAATAAGGATTGATAATTATACATAATTTTAAATTACTAAAAATTTAAAATTAAATTAAAAAAAAGTTCAAGTCACACCACAATTTAACAAATCACAAGTAATTAATCAATAATTAATTCTTTCATAAATTTCTAAGAATTTTATTTTTCTTTTTTTGTCTTTGGGAATTAAAAAATAATTTTTAAAAAAATTTTAAAAATTAAAAAAATATTTTATTTTCATACAAAAAATTTTAGTTTAAAATCTAAATGAAGAAAAATCATATTTATCCAAATAACAAAAAAAATTCTATGTACAAAATGGACACACAAACCAAAACTTTAAATTTAGAGAATTATTTTCATTAAAATTTATTTAGAAAATTGTCTGTCCATTATTTAAAAACAAATAAATTTAATTTTAATTACAGAAAAAAGAAAAAATAAATTGAGTATTTTTTGAGAAAGCAAAAACAACTAAATGGCTTTCCAAATATTAAAAATATATTTAAAGGTTAAAGTTAGAATTTTAAAAAATTGTTAGGTAAAAAGTTCCTGATTAATTTTAAAAATTAAAATAAAGGACCACAATTATTCATTACTGGAGCTTTCTGGCGAATCAGGTAAATCAGCATCTGCATCAACTGTATCTGAAATTTGTGACAATAAACGACAGAATTCAACTGGAGCATCTGCATAAACATGGTGACCGGCACAGGAAACAATCTGAAAGTTTTTTAGAAATTAAAGAATTAAGAATATTAAAATAATAAAATTAAAAGTCAATCTAACATTAACCCAGAAATATTCGATCAGAATAAAAATTTTTTGTATTTTTTCCTTAAATACTATCAATTGCCAAATAGGAGAATAATAAAATATTGACTCGAAAAATAATTTAATATTTTAAATAAAATTTCAAAAACCTGAACATCCACATAAGAAGTGTCCTGTCTCCGTGCTTGTATTTCATATGATGGATCTGGATCCATCCAAGACTTTCCTCCCCAAATAAATGTGACGGGAACTGACGGATCGATACCATTAAATCTTTAAAGTTAAAAAAATTGAAGATTTAAAAAATTACAAAAACCTATTAATCATTGGCCGACGAGCCCAGCCATAGTGTTTAGTCATTGAAGAGAAAGCAATCTCCCCTTTAATTTTATTTCAAAAAATTAATTAAAAATTTAAAAAACCTGTTGGATTCAAAGCATTACATTGATAAATATATTCAAAAATAGCATCCGGATCCTGATTAGAATATCGAATACCCAAATCTGAACGTAATGTTCGAACCAAACGAGAACCTTTTTGATAAAAAATTATTTTAAAATTTTTATTTACCAAATGGTCCTGCCGCCCTTAAAATAAATAAAAATAAACAAAAAAATTAATTAAAAAACCTCAGTGTAGCCAAAGGATTAAATGTGGAGAGAACTTTGCCAAACGCACGCATCCAAACAGGAATATGACGCTTTAATAAATAAATTTTAAAATAAATTTAAATTCTGATTTCGTATTTAAATCTTTAAAAACTTAGAAAATTAATTGTAAAAAATCGAAAAATAAATTAAGAAAAAAAATTTAAAAAAAACCTGTTCAACATGAGGGCGTTCAGGAAATCCCCACGGATCAACCAATACCAAATGACGAATTCTCGAAGGATGCTCCAATGCATAGGATGAAGCTAAATATCCACCTGAAAAATTTTTTAAAAATAATTTTTAAGCAAAAAAAACCAAAAGAATGCCCAACAAGTATCATCTTTTCAATTCCCATTGCTCTACGCCAATCCTCTATTGATTGGACAAATTCTAATTCAGCCAGAGTTGGGTCCTCACTAAACATAGGACGGCTAGAGCGTGCAAAGCCTTTAAAATAAATTAATAAAAATTTTAAAAATTAAAGAAAACAAACCCAAAATATCAAAAGCATGAACGGTTCTTTTCTTACATAATTCATCCAAACAGGCAGCCCAAATACCAATACCAGCGGCAAATCCATGAACAAGCACAAATGGACATTTACTTTCTGAAGCCTCAGCTGTTAATTTTGCTGTAAGTGTGGCGACAGAACTATGCCAAAGACGAACCTAAAAATTAAATTCAAAACAGTAGAAAATCGAAAAATTTTGGTTAAAAAATTATTTTTATCGTTTAAACTATTTTTAATTAAAATTTAGGCTGGGAAAATTAAAAATAAGGAATTAAAAAAAATAATGCTCCGGGAGAGGCTCGAACTCTCGACCTTCAGATTATGAGACTGACGCGCTGCCGACTGCGCCACCGAAGCACTGAAAGGGAAAACAAAAATATTGACCATAAATTAAAGAAAATTGAATAGTTAATTTTAATAACGAAAGGAGAGACTTATTCCACAAATTAAATTAACAATTTACTTAAAATATTTTTTTTAATTTTAATTTAAAATAAGAACATTAAATAAATATTCTATTTTAAAATAACAAAAAAAAATAAAAAAATTTACCGGCACAAATTTTCTAGTAACAAAGGAAGTAACCCCTCCAAGTAAACGAGTTTCAGCCCCTTCCAATTTTCTGGTTGAAGCTCTACTCCATCGAAGCCAAGAACTTTAAATTAAAAATTGATTTAAAATTTGTTTAAAATAAAATAATCAAAAAAAAATTTTTTAAATTAAAAATAAAATTTTCTTACAAAAAGCCTTCCCCAACAGGCTCAGGTCCAGTAGCAATATGTAAAGGTAATCCACCTGTTGATTGATATTCATTATTTAATGTTTCTATAATATTAAATGAAGCTGAAGAATTTTCTTGTTGAGGAGATAAATTTGATGAATCTTGTGTGTTGCCTTCATTAAAGATTGCCATTTATTTTATTTTTTACTAAAAATTTTTTAAATATTAAACAATGGAAGAATTTCAAAAAAAATTTTTTTAAATAAAAAATCAGCTGACTAAACAAAAAAAGAACAAAGTTACAAACCCCAAACTCTATTTACTGAAAATTATTTATTTTTGAGACTCATTTGTAATTAAAAAACACAACGCCAATTTCATATTATTTTTAAGATTTGAATATTGTACCATAAATATTTTCTGAATCCTTAAATCACATATAATGGAGATCGAATCGAGACGAGATCTCGAACAAAAATATTGGTTATCGAGAATCACTATTTTTCGAAATAGCGAGATCGATTCTTGTATGTCCCTCCAAGCCTCCAAATCCTATCTTTAATCATCATAACTCTATCTTGGTTATATTTAAAAATGCCACTTTGGAAGTTAGTTGAAAAATAAAGCCTTGTGTGGAATTATTTCAGAAAAAAAAATATTTTTATTTTTTTTTTGAAAAATATTTTTTTCAATTTATTTTTTAATCGTTTTCTTAAATTTAAAACGGCTTTTCACACTTCTCACATTTGTCCTAGAAAATTTATGGAGCCGAACATCAAAACAAATATTTATTTTTCTTTATTGTCACCACTTCCTTTAATAAACGCGAGAGAGAATATAAATAAATAAATAAAAATATTCTAAAAAATGAGAAAAATTTTAAATAAATTGGAATGGATTTTAAATTGTTTTATAAAAATATATTAATAAAACTCTAAATTCCATTCATTTTAAAGACGTTTTTTCTCTAGAAATCGACACATTCCCTAGTTAAACCATTTCTAGTGTCTTTGCCAAAATTGTATAAGAAATTAATTAAAAATTTTTTTAAATTCATTATCTTCCATTTATGGCTTGTCTACTCACGTGATTCTCAGAAATTCGAGAATCAGTTACCAAGTAAACCCCCTCACCCCCCCCCTAACTCTCCAATTTGGAAGTTAGATGAAGAATAAAGTTACATATCTACATGCTCTCTAGTTTTTTTCAACATTACTAAAGAATTGTTATAATAAATATTTTTATACTTCAAGCTTTGTTGTTGCCGCTGTCATAACAACAAATAGTCCGAAATTAGAAATGAAATAAAAAAAAAACAAAAAAAGTATGTCTACTACAAGAAATTAAAATATAAATTTTTTTTATTTATTCTGCGCAAATTGGATATTTTTTGAAAATAAAATATTTTTGTTTAGATAAATTTGTTTGTATTTATTTTGCTTTAATAAAGCTTGGCAAGAGTTGCATTAATTATTTTAAAAATTATTAAATCATTTTATAAAACATTTAAAAGTCTTTTAATTAAGTAATATTTTTCCAAAAGTTTTGTTTCCTATAGCAGTTTACAAAACATTTTAATTTCAAGAAATATCATACAAAATATTTAAATTTTCCTTCCGGAAAACTTTATTTTCTTTTCTTCACTTTCTACCTTCTCCCAAAAATATTTAATAATAATTTATTTATAAATATAATCAAAAAATACCAACAAACTTTCTCAAGTACCTTTCCTCGGCCTCAAATAACTTCCCAAAAATATTTTTTTATTTATCGTGTTTTTTCCTCCTTCTTTCAGTTTTTTTCCTTCCTTCCTTTTAATTTTTAAGCACCAAATGACCGTCGCGCGTAGAAATCACCGTCTGCGGCCTATAATTTTAATAATATGGAGGCATAGGTTTTCTTCTCAATTTTCTTTTTTCTTCAGGACAGGAAAGAATTAAACAATTGTGGAGGTCGCGAAAAAAAACAAAACAAGCTTTTCTTATGCAACACATAAACCTGGGAAAAATATTGGAATTTTAATGATATTAAATAAAAGTTACAAGGACAAGGCAGAAAATTGGGGGGGGGGAGAAAGAAAAGAATTATAATTTAGGTATATTTTAGATTTTTAGGTTACTTATAATTTATTAGTAAAATTACAAGTTTATTAAATTTTTACAATTTGACTTTAATTTAAATTTAAGTCTTTATAAAAATCAAAGCTTTACTAAAAATAAATAAAACTTTCCGGAACTGTTTATGTAATTAAATTAAAACCTTAAACTTTGAACTTATTAGTAAAAGTTTGAAGTTTAAATAAACTTTCCATAAACCAATTTTTTATTTTATTCAACAATTAAAAATTATGTTTATACATATGTATGATTTATTAGAAATTAATTCCTAAAAAACATTTTTATTTTAATTTTTTAAATTTCGTTTCTTGCCTTTGTTCCTCCACAAAACCAAAAAACATTTTTAATTTTTATGCTCTAATTCTTTTTTTTCCTATTTTTAATTAAAAGATTTTAAAAATTTAAAATGAGTCATAAAATTAAAAAAATATTTTTTTATATCCAATTAAAGGTAACAAAAAAGTTTATGTGTCAGTAAGCAGCAAACAAGGGGCGGTGAAAGCCTTTTTCGCGGTTCTTTTCCCCAAATCTTTTTTAATGTTTTCATCCATTTCATAAACACATAAACGGATTAGACAATTTTGAATGATTAAAAAATATTTTTATGTGAAAGGTCCGGATTTTAAAAATTTTGATAGTATTTTATCTTTTACTGAATTACCTTTGCGAAAAAATCCTTTTAATTAATTAATTAAAAACATTTTTTATATTTATCTTAGAGTGCTTTTCTCTCTCAAAAAAATAAAGGAGAGAATATTTTGGCGGCATGAATTTTTGATCAATGTCACCAATTGATAATGATGGAGAAAAAATATCAAAAGGAACTTAAGGAAATCCGGAATTAGACGAATATCTACTTTTTCTTTTCTCTCCTTTCTCTCTCAAATTATAGAAAAAATTAACAGAAAATATTTGATAGAATTAAAATACTGAAACCCATTCGGAAAAGTATTTCTGAAACTTTAAAAAATAAGAACCTTTAGAAACCTTTTAGGAAATTATTTAAAAATTTCCCAAAAGCTTTTTTATCAAAACTTTTATTTTTTTAAAAATATTAGGTATTATTGATTATTCGAAATTTATTCGAACAAATCATTAGTGTATTTTCATAATTATTATTGTGAAAAAAAAGATACCGTAAATACTGTAATTAAAGCCCTGGGCGTCTATTTTTCGATAGGTCTTCTTGGGTGGGCTAATAGAGACGGGCTTTAATTAGAGCATTTACGGTAAATAAATTTGCCAGAAACATATTAATTTTTATTTCTGTTTGGTTGTAGGTTTTTACCAGCAGAATGTTACTCAATTCAAACAACAACAAAAACTTCAACATAATAATTAATTTATTATTAAAATTCTTTCAATTTTTATTTTTTAATTTTAATTTTTCAATTTTATTTAATTTATTTTCTTTTAATTTAATACAATTAACAACAACAATTAATTCTTCATCTCCTCCTAATTTTTCTCCAATTGTTTTCCCTCCCCCTCCTCCTCCACCACAAAATTTTTTAAGTTCAAATTGTGGCTTCCATTCAAAAAATTATACAATAAAATGGGCATATGAGCCAAAAACCAGAAATGTAGTTTTTGTAATGAAAACAAAACTTCCCCCAATTAATACTCGTGAAAAAAACATTTCCTTTGATTCTAAACAACAAAAAACACAAAAAATGCTTACAGGGATTGCTTTTGGAGATAAAGTTAAAACGAAGAAATTTATTTTATTTTTTAAATTTTTTTAAAGGACCAATTAGACTTTATTGGAATATCTTCAATAAATGATCAATTAGATTTAGTTAGTGGTCATGGTGAATGGCAACTTAGACAAGAAGATGTTGGCCACACATTTTTTGATGAAGAAAATAAAAAAAATCGTCCTCCATTAATTCGAATGCGGGGACCTCTTCACGTAATAATTAACAACACTGGAGGGGAAAATGGACATAATAATCAAAGTGGGGCTTTACCTATACGAGCAATTTCGTTGAAAAAGCAACCGACAGATGGAAGTGTTATTGCTGTAAGGAAATGAGAGAAAAAAAATAAAATTTTGAAATTTTAAATCTGAAAATAATTTTTCTGAAATATATAAATTTAGGGAGAAATACTTTAAATATAACAAAAACGTTTAAGGAATTTGCTCGTCTATTAGCAGGTGATGGAGAACAATTAAAAACTGATCTTTCAAAATGCACGGTATTTAAAAATAATTTTTTATAAAATAATTATTTTTTTTTCACAGAATTTTTTTCTGATTACAAGATGGATTAGTTATAATACATCTGATGAAAATGAAGGGAATTCAGGCAATAATGGAGAACTTCCTTCGATATTGACTACATCCTCTGTAAGTGTTCGCCGTACAGTTTGTGCATTAGTAGATGAATGTACACTTGACACAAACCAAATAATTGGTAAAAATAAATAAAAAATGTAAAAATAAATAATATTTTTTAAAAGAACAACAATTAAATGAAAAGAAAATGAAAGATTTACCACCGGCGGCATCCTCTCCAGAATTAGCCCAATCAGTTGATGTTAGTGGTAAAGGGGATCCTTGCCGATTTACAGGTCCAACTTATTCAATTGAATGGTGGATTGAAGTAAATGAAAAAGAGGAAGAAATTGTTAATTTTTTGATGAAACAAAAAACGAGAAAAGGGCGTTGGTGGAGTGCTATTGGAATTGGGGATAATATGAGTGTAGGTTTTTGTTGTTTATTTTTTATATGTGAAAGGATTTAAGTAATTTAAAATTAATAAGTTGGTGTAATTAGTAGATTAGTAGTTTCAAATGAGCTATCATTTTTTAATGTTTTTGAAGGCAAAGTGTGAAAAAGGAGAGTTTTTTCATACATAAATAAAAATATTAATTTAAAAAATTTTAGGATATGGATATTGGAACAATATTTTTAGAAAATGGAGAGCCAAAAGCAATGATTGACTATTTCTCCAATAGTTACAATTTACCTGTAAAAGATACTAAACAAGATTGGAAATTAAATAAAAAATTGAGTAAATGGCCAAAGAAATTATTTGTTGAGGATAATAATTCTGAAGATGAACAAATTGTTGAATTGTATTTTTCGAGGAAAATAACAACAGAAGATGAAAATGTAATAGAATTATAATTAATGATTTTTAATTTTTAAATTAAAAGGACCGTTCAATGGATGATTGTGTTTTATTTCAATTTGGAGCAAACCTTGGAATATATGGGCCCCCAGGCTTTCGTTTACATAAACACCAAGATTGGCCTGATTTGTACAAAGCTTGCAAACTTAAAAATCATTGCATGCGTCATAAAAGACAAAACGGAAGAAATGATAGAAACAATTTTGGTGAATAAAAGTAAATAAAAATAAAATTTAGAAAAGAGAGGAGAGAGGAGAGGAAGAGAGAGATTATTTCATTTAAAATTAAAAAATAAATATTTATTTTTTATATTAAAAAAATAATTTTAACAAATTAGTTAATATTCCAACACTAAGCCATTCAATTGATGAAAACCAAACAAATAATTCAATTAATGTAACTGATAAAGCTATAGAACTTTTAATGAAATCGCTTGGACCTAAAATTGTTCAGACAGGTAAAGTAAATATTGCTTAGATTTAATTTAAAAATAATTATTTTTAGTATCAGAATCAGACAAAAACGAAACAGAAAATACAAAAGTTAAAACAAAATTAATTCAGAAAACAGGTCAAAAAGAAGAAATAAATGAAGAAGATAATAATGAAATAATTAAAGGGAAGGCAACAATTATTCCTTTATTAATTAATTCAAAACAACAAAGTAACAACGGTATGCAAATAAGTGAAGGGAATGATGTTGGAAATGAAAAGAAAAATGAAAACAAACAAAATGTTTGTTTAGATTTAAATTAAAAAACATTAAAACAAACAAGTTTTATAATTATTCGAACAAACTTGTTTTTGGGAAACATAAGTCTAAACATGTTTTGGGGAAACTTTTAGCTAAACATGTTTAGACAAACATTCTATACATATTTAAAATATTTTTACAAATTAAAACAAACAAAAACAGGAAAACAACAAAACATCAATTATTATATCAAAACGTCAAGAACAACAACAAACACAACAAAACATTCCCAATGAAAATCTAAACAACAAAAACAATTCTGTTCAGTCTAATGAAACAAATACTTCAGGTAAACAAGGTTTTTTTGATTTTTAAAATTTTATTTAGGATTATCAACTTCTCCGTTCTCATTGAGTGCATTTCTTGGTGGCGGAGAACAACAACAACAGCCATTACAACAACAATTGAATTTAAACAATGAAACTGTGAATAATTTAGGGGAAAATGGAAGTAATCATCAATAAATTTTGAATAAAAAATTCTTTAATTTCCAGATTCTTCAACCGCTTCTGTAATTCGACAAAGCGGAGAGGGAGGAGTATCTGCAGAAAATGGAGGTTTACCTTTAGAAGGTGCTACAAATGTTACATTACCTTCTCCTCCGCGTTTTGGAATTAGTCAAATGCTTCAAGAAGAAAATGAAATAAGCAATTCTTCTTCTTCCTCCTCTACTACAACATTATCTACAACAAACAATTTAAATGAAACTAATTTATCCACTACAATTTCACAAGAAAACATTAGCAATACTTCAAATGAAATTCAAACAACAATAATTCCAACAAACATTTCTAATAATGAAGCAGAATCTCCAACAACAATTTCAACAACACAAACAACTAACAACACTGACGAACATCCACAAACAACAATTGTAATAACAACATCTGAACAACAGACAAACATTTCCTCAACAAACATTGTTACACCAACAGAACTTTCCGGAAATTCTTTGTTTCCGGAAAATGAGACAAACAATTTAAATAGTTCTAGCCAACAACAAAATTCTGAAACTTTTACATCTACCACTATATTACCTACAACTGTTGAAATACAGCAATCAACTTCTTTAAATAATAAAATAGAAGAAACATTAGAGAATTCAACAACAGCAATACTTACAAATTCACCCACAACATTAACTGTAAATTTAGAATCAACAAACACAACAACTTTAATTAATAATGAAACATCTACAGGTGAAAGGTCAAAAAAAATTATTTTTTTTCTAAAAAAAACAAGAAAAATTCCTTTTAAGCAATATTTCAACCAACACAACAGCAGAAATAACTACACAACCTACAACAATTATATCAACTGAGAAAACAAACAAACCAACAAATGTTTATTTAACAACAAAAACAACAACAGAAAAACATCAAATGGAAACCTCAAACACTAAAAACATTTCAACAAACTCACCAGAAACAACAAAAACAACATTAAACAAAACAAATTTTTCTAATTTACCTGGATCAAATGAACAACCAGAAGAACGCGGAATTAAATTACCTATTGCAACAAGTTCTGAAATTCTGATTTCTTTTTGTATTAAAAATTCTCTATTTTTAAAAGGTAAATGTGACGCCCTTCGACCAGATTTGCCTATTTGTCGTTCATATATGGATACTTATATTGAAAGAGTTAAGGATTGGTCAGAAAGGCATGGTGAACCTTTGGAAAGACAATTTCCTAAAGTAAAAAATGAATTAAAAAAAATTATTTTTTAAAAATAATTTATTTAAGGCTTGTCGATTACTCAATTCTGTTCCCCATGTACCGACATTGTGTTGCCAATTATTTAATGATAGATGTAATGATTTTATTTAAAAAATGTTTTTTTATTGTTAAATACATATATATTCCCTAGTTATAATTTTTTATTTTCTCAATTTTATAAGTATGTAGATCGCCATAAAAATTATTTTTAATAAAAATTTTATTGAAAGTACATATATGTATGTAGTATATCCGCCATATAATTATAACACCTCCTAAATCCCACACTTCTAATTTAAGTACCAATTTTTAACCTGAATATGTTTTAAAAATCGGCTAACTCTATTTAGAAATAAAAAAAATCGAAAAATTGTTTAAAGGTAAAATTTTTTTAATAAAATTATTTAACTAATGAACTTTATTTTAATTGATTTTTTAAATAAAAGTTAGAAGGAGATATTAAATTTCAAAAAAAAATTGACGAAAATATTTTAAAATTTGTAAAATTTTTAAGGAATTTTTAAAACCTGTTTTTCACATTTAACAGGATTCCAAAAAAGATTCTATTGACTTTTAAAAATATATATTTATAGAATAAAATTACAATAAAAAATTAACGAAGATTAAAACTTTTACAGAGACTTTTTACAAGTTTTAATTTTAAAACAGTTTTAAAAAATAAACATTTGTTCTCAAAAAGAGTTTAATTTTCTTCAATTAATTTCTCAGCTATAAAACAATCATTCATTAAATAATATTTATCATTAAATAAAAACCATTTTTGTCTTTTTCCAATTAATTCTTCAAATTTATTTTTACAAACTTTTTTAATTTCTCTTAATTTTAAATTATTTATTAAATTATTTTTTGTATCTTTTATTTTTCCTTTCTCAATTTCAAAAAAATAATTTCCATCATCAATTAAAGGTTCTAATTTTAAATTAAAATAATTTGTGTTTTCTAAAATATTTTTAGACAACATTTCTCTTTTAAAAACAAACTCTTCCTCCTCTTCATTTAAATTTTTCCTAATTTTTTTAACACAAATTTCAATTCCCAATTTACATAAATTTAATATTTTAATTTCTTTTAATGTTATATTTTCGAATATTTTAGAAACACATTTTTCTTTTTTATTTTCCAATACTTTAACAGCAAACCCAAAATATTTTCTATTATTTAAAGATTTTAATTTAATTAAATAATTCCCCTTTTCTTTAAATTTTATACAAATTTCAATTAAATTTTCTTTTTGTTTATTTAAAAACATATTTAATTTAGTTAATTTTGTTTCTTCTCTATTGTTATTTTTAATTTCTTTTTTTGGTTCAAAATATAGAGGATAACGAAATAAAGGCTCAATTGTAAGCAATACCTATAGAAAAACAAAATTATTTTATTTAATAAAAACAAACATTTCCATAATCAAATTCTATATATTTTTTTAATCTACAAATTACAATTCCCTTTCTGTAATTATTATTTAAATTTTCAATAAATTTTAATTTAATTATTTCATCGTTAACATTTCCATTATTTTCCAACAAATACATTTTTGTATTTTCATTTTTATTGCAATAATCATTTAATGGGGTTATATAAAATTGTTTAGGTTTATTTAATATCCTTGGATCAACTTCAATTAAAATTTCTAACATTTCTTGATCATTATTTTCGTTTATAAAAATATTTTTTAAATTAATATATTTACTAAATTCTCTGATAATAAAATTTTGATCGCTTAATTTTTGAATATTTTCAAAAGAAAAATTTAAAAATAAAAGTAATAAAAGAATTAATTGAATAATCATTTGTTTTGTTGAATATATTTAAATAAAATTAATTAATTTAAAATTATTTAATATGCCCTTTTAAATGTAAAGACCAAATAGGTAAATAGCTACGTGAAGAGCTATTTCAAAAATAATTAAGAAATAAGGTAGACTATTAATTGACTCTTTTTTCGCAATTAAAAGTGGAGAGGCGATGTTTTAAAAAATTTATTTAAATTTTAAATAACAAGTTTTGAAAAATTTTTGAAATAAGTTTCTTTTAATTTAAAAAGGATTCCAAAAAATTTCTTTTTAAAAAATTATTTTTAATCATTTTTAATAAAGTTAAGCAATAATATGTATATGTATTAAGGGATTGCGCCGACCCGATTCCCAAAAATTACCGACGATTTTTGTCTAGTAAAAATTTCTTCTTGAAAATTAATTCAGCTCGTGAAAATTTCCTACAATTTCTGGCTCGTGAATTCCCGAAAATCGTGAATTTGGTTTTTTGTCGGCGCGACCCTGGATATGTATAAGAAAATTTAAAAAAATACTGAAAATTAATTTTAAAAACAAAAATGCTGTCAAAAATATTTTTAAATAGTTAACAAAAATTAGAAAAATAATTTGATTAAATTTTTTTGAGAATTTTCTGTTCACAATAAAAAAAGATTTTATCACAAAATATTAATTATTAACAACAAAAGTACCAAAATGCTTCGTCAATTCTTGTGCCAACATCGAAGCAAAAGTAATATTTTCACAATTAAGTTGCAAACAAAAAGTTGAATAATTTGAAGTATTTTGCTCTAATTTCGAAGTTTCCGGAAAGAATGAAATTAATACAAGTGTTTTGTTTGACACAGTTTGAGCAGCAAAAGATAACTAAAAAGTGTGAAAAGTTTAAAAAACAAAAAAAAATATTAGGGGGAAGGGAAACATAGAGAAGGAAAACATTTGTATTTTTCTAAAAATAATTTTAAAAAAGATTCACAAGCACCAAAAATATATTTTCCTTCTATTCCTTTCACAAACAATTTTAAGAAATTTTCTTACATTTTTTCCCAATTCAATTTCATCTTCGCCAACAACTTGTTTACAATTACAAATTTTATATAATTCTCGAACCAAAATTAAATCAGAAGGTAATTTTAAATTGTTTATTTTAATTTGATTCATTCCACTAAGAAGACTGCGTTGTTTAAGAAAATCATTTTGAGATATTTGAACAGATTCAATTTGTTCTCCATATGGAGCCTTTAAAAAATATTAATTAATTAATCAAATAAAAACTCTTTCTTTTTTTCTTCACCTTCACTTCAAACCGAACAAATCTTTCTCCATCAGGCCCCCATTTCACCGTCCATTCCGATGCTTGTGCAGTATCACCAAAATCTATTCCAATAGTTACACGTCGACGTTCACCTTCTCCAAGTCCATTAAGAGTAAATGGGCCGCTTGTTTGTAACAGACACTAAAAATTTCTCCAAACATTCGAAGCTGGTGCCAAAAGTACATTACTTGAATTTATTTGAGTATTTTTAAAACAAATTTGCAATTCAATACACACCATAGAACTTGAATAAAGACATGGAGAACGACAAAAACGGCCAAAAATTGAAAGACCACCAGAAACAACTGGAGCAACAAAATGAAACTAAAAAGGAAAGAAAAAAATTAAGAAATTTTATTATTTTATTAATATTCAATTAAATATTTCAACCCAAGTTTGAATTGTATGTCAGAAATCCGGTTTTTGAGTAGGCAAAATTTATCCCACAGGCTGAATTAATCTCAAAAATTTACTGTAAATTCCTCATTTGCCCATTGTGCCGAAGCACGAAGCCATGCAGAGTGTCGAACAGGCAAATCCACATTCGGCATAACAAAGTCGGAGGATGTTGTATTAATTGAAGACGTTCCAAAATCAATTCCCAATAATAACAAATCATCATTTGATTCTTTTTCGTCCGTTTTTAAAGATTTTAAAACTTGTTTGGTTTCAAAATCTCTTTTCGGCGATGTTTTTATTTCTTTACGAGGTTCGTCAACTTCTGATTCATCTAAAAATAATTGTAAAAGAATAATCAGAACATTAGTAAAAACCCTCTTCATCTTCATTTTCCTCATCCTCTTCTTCTTCCTCCTCGTCCTCATATTCTTCTTCATCCTCATCTTCCTCTTCATCAGAGCCAGATTCAACACTTGTATATTCATCTTCCACACTTAATTTTTTAGTTTTTACAAGTTGATTAGCAGCTTCAAGCGAATCAGAAGGTAAAGGATATGCATCTCGACGAATAGTAGGGTCAGGTTGAACAGTTGGAAAGTCAGGTAAATGCTCATAACCCGAACATTTCTAAAATATTTATTTTCTCTTTTATTTTCAATTTTTATTTATTTACCTGATTTAAAAGATGAGAAAGTGTTCCAAGTTGGAAATGCTCAACTCTATCAGCAAAAGAATTTTGCATTAATGGAGCTGGACGATCACTTAAAAATATTTCCAAAGGGAATTTAACTATTCCTTCATCATCTTTTTGAAAGTTTGTTTCTCCATTTAAAATATTTTTTTCAATTGAGGAATTATTATTTGTTATTTCTTCATTATTCAATTCCTCAGATTTAGTTATAGAAGAGCTCGAAAAATTATCATCAAATATTTTTTGTTCAACAATAGCAGAGGAAGTTGAAGAACCTTAAATAAATAATTCTTATTTAAAGTACTAAATAAACTTTTCAAGATATTAGACAGTGTTTAAGAGATTATTTTTTTTAATAAAAAATTTTGATCCTTCTTTTCAGTCCCTTAAAAAATATCAAAAATAAAACATTTTAAATATTACAATTAGAAAAAAGCATATTCCGTAAGAAACGGCAACGATCACGAATATCATAAGAGCGATCATAACGTGCCAATTGAAAAATATAGTCAATAAGTAAATTTATTTTAGTGTTCTTATTGTCTTTTAAAGTTTCGATTATATATATTCGAACCGCCAAATTAAGTGCTTGAAGCTGAAAATTATTTTTAAAAAATAGAAAAACTATTTTTAATAATTTACCTTAACACAATCGGCTTCATCAGCAAACGTTTTAGCCACTTTTCTCAACAAGTCAGGAGCTATATTAGGTACTTGATTAATGTGCATGCCAATTAACCAAAGAATACAAGCACGTGCTAATGGGGCCTTAAAATTATAAGAATTTTTGAGAGACAAAGGACAACAGTTCTAACATAAGCATAATTGGGAAAAAGTTGCGAATAAATAATTTTAAATAACCAAAACCCCAATCAAAATAATTAAAACTTTTTATGTAAATAATTGTCAGATTCCCACCCAATTTTCTAAAATTTCGTTTATTATTTTACAAACCTTCACATTTTCCATAAGACGAGAAACTTTCTTTAACAAATTCAAAGGAGCATCTGAATGTAATAAACGTTTCAACACAACAACAGCAACACAAACAATCTCTTCTCGAGCATTTGGATCAGATATAATTTTAACTAATGTAGCTAAACAAGTTTCAGATGCAGCTGAGGGGACAGCTAAAGCACATCGACCTATTGCTTCTACAGCTTCTTCAGCCAAATCAGTCATTTGCATATAAGCCTTTTTAAATAAAAGTATATAAAATTTATTGGAAGATGTGGTAAATCAGAATAAATCAAAAAATAGTTAATAAATATTTATAAGCAAAAACACAATTTTAATATTGTGTATTCTTAGAAATAATTTAGAAATATTTATAAAAAAACCTGTAATTCTCTAATAACAAGTTGAACATTAGATTCATCCACTAAACAAGTCAAAACATTTAATTTTAATTTCTTAACTTGCATAGCATCAGAAGAACGAACAAAGAAACTTTTTAGAAAAGGTGAAAATAAAGTCTAAAAAATTTTCTTTTTAATTTTTTTTAAAAAAATTAATAAAAACCTTATTAACTGACAAAATTGTTTCTTTTTTATTTTTTACTTCCTTTTCATTTTCTTCTTTAATTTTTTCATTTCCCCATCTAGAATTATTTGAACATATCATACTTGCAATATTAACCAAAATTATATAAGAAACTTCATTTGTTCCACGCAAAAGACGAACGAGGGCACGTGGGACTGCAGAAAGTTGGGCAAATGGGGCAATATAATAAAGTAATTGGGACACTGCCTAAAAAAGGGAATCATTTTTTTAACAAAATAAAAAACTCATTATCGAAAATTGGAAAAAGACATTAGTAAGTCACAAGAGATTATCCAAAGGGGTCTGTTTTGGGGAGCCTTCAGTCCCTTCCCACTGGATACGCTCTTGGCAAGTCATCCAACTTTTAAAAAACAAAAAAATAACCATAACAACAGCTGGATTCCTACTCTGCAGTAATGGGCGCACAGCAACTAGTAAGAGGTTGTGATCAGGATCTAGCGTTTGAGGTGATTTCTTTTGAAGAAAAATAAAAAATATTCAAAAAAATTAAAAAAAAACTGTTTTATTTAATTGACTATCCTCGCTTCCATCGCTATCAAAACTTTTAGTTTTACTAAAACTTTGTCGATTTGTTGTAAGATTATTGTCTGGAGGTGCTAAAAATTGTGTACGTGCATAACGTGTTAATAATCCAATCATAACAATTTGCCCCCTAAATTTAATTTTTAAATAAAAAACTTTAAAAAAACCATTCATCAATATCAGCTAATGCCCGACAAAGTAATCGAAAATGTCTATGTAATAAATCTATACGTTCAGGGCATGTCTTTTCAAATGCATATACAGCAGACCCGAGAACAAGCGTTCGTTTATCTCCTATAAATAAAGGAAAAAATTTTTAAAAATTATTTTAGGTAAATAATCGGAAGGTAAAATAATATAGAAAATAATTTTCAAGATTGGGAATGTCAAAAACTTAAGTAGTTAAACAAATAAGGGGACATTGATATTGGAAACACATCAAAAATAAAAGAGAAAATATTAAATGTAAATATTAGAGAGCCCCTTTTAAAAAGACAAATGTAAAAAAATCTCCAAAATTGCCAGAAAATCTAAATATTCAGTTAAAACTTGAATTTTAATAAATTTTAAAAATACCTAGCAAAAAATCAATGCATTCAATTAATTGATTTTGCAATTCCGGATCAAGTGCATACAATTTTGGAATGGCATGAGCAGCAACTTTGCGGACATAAGGACTCATATCGCGTACAGAATCTCGAATAGCCAACATCATTACAGGGGCAATCATTTGTACTCTAATTGAAGAAAGAACACGAAGAGCACTTGCCTATAACAATTTGGGGAAATATTTTTGAAAAGGAAATTATATTTACTCTAATTAATTGATTTGGATCTTTTAATCCTCGTTGAAAAGTACTGATTGATAAAAGTGCCAAATCTTGTTGTTCTTCAGCATAACGAACCAAATATACATAAACTAACTTTTTCAGCTATTAAAAATTGAAAAATAAATTTTTTTTAATTTAAATAAATTAACCTCCAAATTTTTTGCCGCAACATTTTTTACAACAGCAGGAAATAAATCAGAAACATCTTTACCCCTCGCAACCATCTGATAAAATTAAATTTAAAAAAATTATTTTTTTTAAATTTTATACATTAATTATCCGTCTCATTGCATCCATTTTAACATTTTCTTTATTGCTGTCAAGCATTGCCTTTAGATCAGTGAATTTTCTTTAAAAAATTATTTTAAATGTTTAAATATAATTAAAAATAACAAACCCTTTATTGTCCAAAATTGTCCCACTTTCAGCAATCTCTATTTCAGGAGTAGTGGCCATAGATGGATATGACATTCGCATTTGTTATTTAAATTTAATTCTAAATTTATTTTTTTTATAAAAATGGATTTTACTTTTTGGGACTTGAAAATATTACAAAATGAAATTTTTTGGAGTTTTTTTTTAAATTAAGGGGCTTTTGAGTCTAATTTTTATTGAATATTTTGTATGTTTCTTGAAATTTAGGTAGTGGACGACTCAGAGTCGCCGATTCAGATCCGCCGATTCAGAATTCAGAGTGCCACAAAATAATTTTTAATAAAAATTTAAAATTTTTAAAATTTTCTTTAATTTTTCGGTTTTGTTTAGTAAAATGATGAAATGGTGTTGTTATGTTATAATGGCATAAATAATCTGTAAAGAAACATGAAAACAATTAATTGACTTGAATTATGTCAAAAAGTCAGCAAGACTCATTTGTCTTTACATTTATTTTCAGTCTCAGCACAAACCTAAACCTTTAGGCTTGCTTGTCAATAGAGTCTCGGCGACTTAGCATCGAAACGCCTTTTCTATGCAATAACTTTTTTTATTTCGATCATTTCCAGAAATTTTCTTTATCAATTAGAATCTATGTTTGTTTTTATTCTTTTTATTAACTTTATGAAAGGATCCGATCATTTCTTAGAAAGTTACACCCGCCTAAGCATGTTAAATCACGATTATTCGCAGTTAACGGCTCCTAACTTTTTTGAAAGACGGTAAAACTAAAAAATTTCTATGAAAAAATAACCGGCACATCCAGAGCTTTTAATTAAAGCAAAAATTATTTGGATTGATTTAAAAACAAAAAAGTTATATCCCAAAAACTTTCGTTTTGATGCCATATTTTAAGACTCTTTCGTTACCTGGTTACTTTTAGTCTAAACCTTTTGAAGCCTAAACCTTTAGGTTTTTGAACATTTGAGTCTCAGCACGCCCCTAAATTTTCTTAATAGTTTTGTCTTTTTTTATCGTTTGGTCTTCTTAATTAGTGTATAAAGATGAACCAGAACTGATATTATGGTAATAGAAATCCTATAAATTAAGAATCACATAGATAATTTTTTGAATTTATTTATGAATTCCTTGGAGAATTTCATTCCTGGATGGAATAGAAGCGATGTTGGAATTTCGTCAACAACAGCCTCAACCAAACGGCCCTCTTTAGGGCCACAAATTTAATAAGTGAGATGAGGACAATGACTTTTATTTTTTGATAAATTTGTTTATTTGACTCATTTTTTTTAAAAATTCGTTCACTGAAGAAAAAAGTCGAGACCAAGACCTCACCCTAAGACCGAAAAACCTCAAGAAAAGTCTAGAGTCAAAACTCGGCAACTTTTTAGAATGTTCATCAGATCGTAGGAACTGAGAAAAACCACAAAAATCGCAAGAAAAACTGGTTTTCTAGGTCCAAAAATTTATGTACTCTGAATCGTCTCCTTTTAGCCGTACTCTGAATTGTCCCCTACTCTGAATCGGCGACTCTGAATTGCCGACTCTGAATCGACCTTTTCCCTTTAATTTAAGGGGCTTTTGAGTCTACATTTTTATTGAATCTTTTTCTTGAAATTTATAAGGTAGTTTTATTGTTTTTTTCTTCTTTTATTTTTTTAATTTTTCAGGTATAACATTAATTAGTGAAAATGTCTTGTTCAGCAATATTTATTCTAGATCAGAAGGGAAATGTTTGTTAAAATATTTTCTTTAAAAAATAATCTTTAAATGATTTAGGTAATTATGTCGCGAAATTTTCGTGGAGATATAGATGTTTCTGTTATAGAGAAATTTATGCCGCTACTCGTTGAGCAAGAGGATGAGGGGAGAGCTTCACCAATTATACAAAATGGAGAACTTAGCTATATTTTTATTAAACATATGAATATTTATTGTTAGTTTAATTTTATTTAAATGGAGAAAGGGCTCGAGTTCGGAGTAAGTTGTCTGAATCTAAAACTAGATTTTTCTTTATTAGATTCAGAACATCTTTCAATTTTGAGTTCCATTTTTTTCATTAATTCTTGTGAAATTTAAATATTTTACGAAAAATGTGAAATCACCCTTAAGAATTTTTTTGCTGTTTCATCCTTACTCTTCGCTTTTTTTAATTCGAATCTCTAAATAAGGAGATTGAGGATTTTAATGATTAGGGTGTCAAAAATATTTTTTCTTAAAAGTACCTATTTTAACTTTAAAAAATTCCAGTAGTTGCACTTTCTCAAAGAAATCCAAATGTGGCAATGGTTCTTTCATTTCTTTACAAATGTGTTGAAACTTTTGTTTGTTATTTTAAAGATTTGGAAGAGGAATCAGTTCGTGATAATTTTGTTGTTATTTATGAATTATTGGATGAAATGCTTGATTTTGGGTTTTGATTTTCTTTTAAATATTTTTAAATCTTTAATTTAATTTTTAAAGTTATCCACAAACAACAGAACCTCGAATTCTTCAAGAATATATAACACAAGAAACTCAACGATTAGAGATTGCACCTCGTCCACCTATGGCTGTTACAAATGCCGTTTCTTGGCGTTCAGAGGGTATAAAATATAGAAAGAATGAAGTGTTTTTGGATGTTATTGAATCTGTTAATTTATTGGTCAATTTAAAAATTTTGTTTTAAAAAAATTAAAAATTTAAAGGCAAATGCTAACGGAACTGTCCTTCGAAGTGAAATTGTTGGGTCAATTCGAATTAGGGTTATACTTTCTGGAATGCCTGAATTACGACTTGGATTGAATGATAAAGTTTTGTTTCAGGCTGTTAGAAGTTTGTTTAAATTGAAAATATTTTTTTAAGTTTATTTTTTTAGAAGGTCGTGGTAAAGCAGTAGAATTAGAAGATGTTAAATTCCATCAATGTGTCCGCTTATCTCATTTCGAAAGTGACCGAACAATATCTTTTATTCCGCCAGATGGAGAATTTGAATTAATGAGTTATCGACTATCTAGTGCTCAAATAAAACCTTTAATTTGGGTACAAGTACAAATGGAGAAACATGCACATTCTCGTGTTGAATATATTGTGAAGGTTTGTTTAAAATAAAATTTTTTGGTTCCCCCTCACTCCCCCTAGTATTTTTAAAACAAAAATTTTTAACAGGCAAAATCCCAATTTAAACGTCAATCAATTGCAAATCATGTTGAAATTCAAATTCCCGTTCAAAGCGATGCCGATTCCCCAAAATTTAAAAGTATTGTTGGATCTTCCCGTTATGCCCCAGAGAATGGGGCATTTATTTGGACAATAAGAAGTTTTCCTGGAGATAGAGAATATTTAATGAGAGCACATTTTAGTCTTCCTTCTGTTGAAAATGATGAAAGTGAAGGGAAAGTACCTGTTTATGTGAAATTTGAAATTCCTTATTTTACTACATCTGGTTTACAGGTGAAGGGATTTTTAAAATTAATCAAAAATTTAATTTTTAAAGGTTCGTTATCTGAAAATTATTGAAAAAAGTGGGTACCAAGCACTTCCTTGGGTACGTTATGTTACACAAAATGGTGATTACCAAATTCGAACCTAGAATAGAATATACTTTTTGAAGATAAGGAAAAAATCAATTTGTGAGGAATATTTATTAGGGATAAAAATATTTTTATATTAAAAAGTGGAGGTGGACACGACCAGTTAATTCTTCCCTGTGGAGATGTAAAGCTCTTATTCTTCTCTATTCGGCTCGCTACAGGGAAGAATTAATTGGTCTATCCAACTTGATTAAAAACAATTTAAATAAGTTTAAATTGTTTCTGGCTACTTTTATTAGTGCGATTAATTGTTTATTTTTTAAATTATTTTTTAAAAATATTTTTAAGTTAATAGCAAATGGAAAACTTATTTCTTCTATTTTTCTGTTTATTTAACAAAAATATTTCTTGCCTTTGAAAGAAATGTATTCCTTTTAATACTAATAATATTTTCATATCTTTTTCCATTATTTTCGCCTTCTAAATTTTTTTCTTAATTTTTAACTCGAAAGTTGCCTTCTTTTCGCAAACTATTGACTTTTTTTTTAAATTTTTTGTGATCAATTCCAACCCCAATATTGTTGTGATGAATATTTAATAATAGAAAATTGTTGCATCTTTATTAAATTGAATTTTGCTTAAATATTTTTGGAGAATGCGCATTTTTAGAATTTATTTTTCCAAAGAATTTCCAAGAAATCAATTGTTAAATAAATTAGTTTAATAAATTTTGAATAATTGGAGAATCAAAATTTAGTACATATGTATATGTAATAAGATTTATTCCAGAAAATATTTTGTGTTAAAAAATCTTTGTTTCTAATTTTAAAAAATTGACATTAAATGAATAATTTACAGACATAAATAGGCCCTATCTGAATAAGAGGGCGCTTTGATTTTTTTCATCATTTTTTTCCTACCATAATATATAAATAATGGTCAGTCTTTTCTTCCTCGTTCGATTCCACTCTTTTTACCTGTGGCATATTCAAATGAGAGGACAGACAAAGCTCACACACGGACAGACATAACACGAGTGTTTTCTGTCCGAGTCCGTCCGTGTTTTATCTGTCTGTGTCCGCCCGAGTTTTGTCTGTCTGTGTTCGTCCGTGTTTGTCTGGTCTTTGTTCGTCCGTGTTTGTCTGTCCGAGTCCGTCCGAGTTTTGTCTGTCTGTGTCCGTCCGTGTTTTGTCTATCCGAGTTCGTCCGTGGTCAGTCTTTTCTTTCTCTTTGAATCCTGCCATATTTTGTCTGTCCTCTCATTTGAATATGCCACAAGGTAAAAAGAGTGGAATCGAACGAGGAAGAAAAGACTGACCATTATTTATATATCAAGGTAGGAAAAAAATGATGAAAAAAATCAAAGCGCCCTCTTATTCAGATAGGGTCCATAAATATAGGAGAAAAAGGGCATGACAAATATTAATTTAATTTTTCTAGAAATTTAGTTTCGTTATGCTCTTTAGAAAAATAATTTTAGTAAGAGATCAATTATAATTTATTTATTCAACTTTTCACTTCTTTTCTAGTCCTCGTCTACAAATCAGGACTTTTTTCATTATGCTGGTTAACTACTCCACTGCTATTTGTGCTGCAATGCGATCTCCCACTAGAAGAACGCCTCAAACTTAGGCTGTGATACAAAGGGGTAGATCTGAGATTTTTGTTTAAAATTTATTTTATCGAAATAAATTCCACCTTAGGGCATCTTTTAATTGAATACATTCATAATTTTCAATTCCCTCTTGGAACTTTTCGAGCCAAATTTCCTTTAAAAAATAATAAATATTTTAAAGAAATTTATTTATTTATTTTCAAACTTTCTCTTTTTTGTTAGAAGCTTGTAATGTATAAATATTTAATAGTTGATAGTATCGAGTAAGGTGCATAACAACAAATGAATTGTTTAGAGAAGTAACTGAAAAATTTTAAAGGAGAATATTAAATATATTTTGGAGAAATTAAAAAAAATTATTTCTGAATTAATCCAGAGATGGGTCGGAACAGTCAGAGATGTCGGAACCCGACCCACCTCTGAATGAATTATAAATCAAGAAGAAAATTAAAATTGTACAAAATAACGGATAAATTATAATATTTTAAAATATATTTTCCCCCTTACCCCCATTTTGTTGTTGCTGTGTTTGAATATCAATTTGGGATTCAGTATCACAAAAAACACAAGAATCTAAAGGGAGTGGCTGTCGATGGACAATAAAAATTTTATTTCCATTTAAAAGCCCATTTGCATTACTGGCTGTGCCTGAGGAAATGGACGAAGTTAGGCCGCTGTTGCTATTTCTCTGGAATTTATTAAATTAAATTATTAATTATATGGAAGCTGAAGAGGAAATGATGGGGGCGTTGAAGGAAAAATACCAATATTTTTCTGAATTAAATTTTCAAATAATTCCTCAAAATTTTTACTTTTTTCCAAAGCAAATACTACCTTCGATTTAGAAGCAACTTTCTTTACTTTCGTAACTAAAAACATATCATTAAATAAAAAACAATAACAATCAGAATTTCGTCCATTTTCTAAAATTATTTAAAAAATAATTTTTTTCAATTATTTTTAATTTACCAATAAATTCCAAATACCCTTCGTGTAACAATTTTCTTCGAGGATGGGCAACAAAATTTTCACAAAATTGTTTTGAAACTGCATTTTTTAGAAACTTAAAAAAGAAATATTTTTTTAATTAAAAAATATTATTTACATCAGGAATAAAAGCTTTAGGTTCAATTTCGGTAACTGAAGGCCAAACAATTTGTCGTTGAAGTTGTTGGAGACGTTCAAAATTATGTAACCATTGAACACTATCATCTATTGTTCCTTAAAAGAAATTTTATTTTTTTTTAATTTTGCTCTCCAAAATCTTTACTTAAATTTTCATTCATTTGTTCCAAAACTTTTTCGAGGCTTTGTCTATCTTGTTGAAGTTCTGTATGTTTTAGAATTTCTCTAAAAATTAATTAAAAAATTAAAATATTAATTATTTATTTATTTTTACCTTAATAAAATAGGTAAACGAGTAATTCGTTGTAAAGGAGAAATTAATAAATCTTCTAATTGTAAACGTTCACAACGAGGGTCAGTCACACAAATCTTGAAAAATTATAAAATTAAATATTTTATCATTTTTTTAAGAAAATGTTAAAATAATTTTTAAACAATAAAAAATACAAAATATTAAAAAAATATTAGAGCAACATTGAGGTATAAAAAAATTTAAAAAAATTTAATGACGTTAAAAGAACTATTTGGGTTGTTGAGGGGGGATTAAATGGGAAAAATACATATATTATTTTTTGAAAGATAAAAACCAAAATTTTTGAAAAACAAAGAAAAAATGTGGGAAGAAAATAAGAAAAAATGTTAAAATTGAAAATAAATTTTGGAAAAATAAATTTTTGTTTAAAAATTAGTGAAAATCAAGCCCGTAGCCAGGATTTTTTTCGGGGGGGGGGGGTCGCAGGCGAAACCTGCCCTCCTGGCTACGGGCATGGTGAAAATAATTAAAAAAATTTTTTAATTAATTAAAAAAATCCCCTTACTCTTTCAAAATCAACAAAACGTTCATCTTTTTGTCTAATTGTTCCCAAATATTCAATTGTTGCCTAAAAATATTTTTTTAATTTAATTTAAAAATTCAATTTAATTACTTTATAATTAATACAGTAAGCCTGATATGCAGAAATTGTGGAAGGGCCTTTAGAAAATCTTTTAAATAATTGTACAATCATTTGTGTTGTTTTATTAAATGGAGGGCCGTCATTTTTGACATCTCGGAGAAGGGAAATAAATGAACGACAAAATCGACGACTAATCTTTAAAGGGAAAATAAATTTTTTACATCCTCCTCTCTCTCTCCCCCCCTCCCTTACTCTAATTAATTGTTCCAAATTTCCAAAAAGAAGATCAGGCTCTACACTTAAAAGGCAACCCTCTACTTGACATCTTTTTAAAGGTTCTTTGTAAACATTCCTTTAAAATTAATTTTTTTGAAAATAATTAAAAAACACCTACCTCAAAACCAACAATTGTCTCGTTAAAAAAATTAATTCACTGTGAAATAATTCCCAAACAGCCTTTAAACGCCGTTTATCTCTCTCATTAAGTTGTTCATTTAAATTGGTTGTTTCTGAAGAATTAAACATTTCTTCCCATTGAATATTCTAATTAAAAAATAAATAAATTAAACATTCCGGAAACTCTTTAAATTGTTTTCCGGAAATTATTTTCTAAACAAAAATAAACTTCAAATAATTTACCTATTTTTATTATTAATTTATTATTTAATTATATTTTAATTTACTTAATTTACCATTAAATTCTCAAAATATGTCTCAGATTCACTACTCCCTCCCTCCCCACTTTCACTGTCTGTGCCAGTTGAATGATGGGGTGATGGAGATACAGAACCAGAATTATCATTCGAAGTAGCCCCTAAAGCTGCATGAACATGTTTAACCATTTCTCGAGATTTTGCACGATGAGACCATTCGTACTGGAAACAGTATTTTTTAATTCAAAAATTTTATTTAATTTTCTAACCAATCTTCGTAATATCCAAGAGGACCTTTTAGGTCGACACTCATTTCCGGAATTTTCGGCATAGAAATGAGGGGCAGCAAGTGTTGCACGTTGCAAATCTAAATAAAAATATTTTTAAATTAACAAAAAAATCTTTCCCTCTTCCCCTTACCAGCTAAAAGTCCAGTTCCATTTGCAGTTACCGCTCTATTAAAATAATGTAATTGTGGGGATTGTTGTCTTTCACTTCTTCTCCTCTTTCCATTATTATTAAAATTATCATCTGTCGTTACATGTACATGAGGTACAATAATAACATTATTACAACATCCATTACTAGACCCTTCCCTATATTCTCCATAATTATTTTCTTCATTTTCAAAGTTTTCCTCTTCATTTTCATCATCCTCCCTATCCCTTTAAAAAATTAAAATTAAAAATTAAAAAAAAATTCTTAACGATTCTCCCCCCAACATTCCCTTCTCGTCAGGAATAAGAGCACAACGTCTATGTAATTGTTGTTCTCGATTATTATTTATTTCCCCTTCTTCTTCCCCTTCTTTTCCTTCTTTTTTAATATTTTCTTCAAAATTATTTTCTATTTCTGTTCCTCCAATCTATTTTTAAAAATAATTTTTTAAACTTTTTTTTTGTAAAATTTACATGATTTTGGGTTAATAGGTCTCCATGTAAAAAGAAAGCCCCGCCATTATTTGAAGAAAAGGTTGCTGGAATGACTGTTGTAACTGAAGGGGCTATCATTTTTCTTTTGGTATATTTTAAATTAAAGGAATTTAAGTAATTTTTTGTTTAAATTTATCTAAATAGGAATAAGGATTTAAAAGTTTATTTTAAAAGTTTTAGGGGAGTAGTAACCCCCCCCTTTTGTTGCACAACGTGCAACAAAAGGGACGGGGTGTTTTGAATTTTTACCACCCATTTGTTGCACAACGTGCAACAAATGTGTGATTGGCCAATGGAAACTTAAAGGTTTGGGAGCCAATGGGAAACAACCAATGGCAACAATTTTTTTTAACACACTATTTTTATTTTCTAACCACCCTTTTGTTGCAGGGCAGTAGTTAACCCCCCCAAATCGCTCATCCCAAATCGCTCCCACCCCCCAAACCCAAACCTTTTGATGATTTTTTCTTTTGATTATGCCGCCAACCTATACCTTTTGAAGGGGTTCAAGGGAGATTTATAAAAGTGTGAGGGTAATTAATCATATTTAAAATAATTAATTACTTTTTGAAGATAAAGGGTGATGACAGGTTTCAGATAAATAAGTACGTTTAAGAAAAGAGCGATCTGGGTGGAAGGGTAAAAATTATAAAATTAAATTAAAAATGTCAAAATTAATTAAATTTAAAAGGGACTTTCTAATTAAAAAATAAATTAAAAAAATAAAATAAAAATAATATTAATTAAATAAAAAAATAAATTTACAAAATTTTGAAAAAAATTAAAATGATTTCAAAAAATAAGCGGAAGTACAAATGTAAGGGGGCGGGGCTAAAATTTCGAAATACCAAATTTCAAAATGTCAACCGATAAAATGGAAAATTTATAAATTGGAGGAAATTCAAAATTTAAAAATTGGCGGGAATTTCGAATTTAAAAATTAAAAAAGATTTTAATTAAAAATTTAAAATTAAAAAATATACCGTATTTCCTAAAATAGTACTCCCGGGAGTACTATTTTTCAACCCTCCTCCAAAGGGGAGTACTATTTAAGGGGGGAGTGCTAATTCAGGGGGGAGTACTATTTTTCAACCTTCCTCACTGATTTATCTTGGGAAAATTTATTTCAAAATTCTAAATGTCTAAATCAATTAGATTTCTTAATTTAAAAAATGCTGGATCCGTACATAGATTTTCAAAAAAAATTCCTTTATAATTCGCAAAAAATATCCAAATTATTATAAAATTGAGCACATGGCAGGACATTTAAACACAAGTGACTTAAAATAAGGATTATTGAGGGATATCAAGAAGTATATCAGTGGATTTGGAGTGGGGATTTAAGCTATAAGGGGATTTAAACAATTAAGAGTGAAGCATGCTTTGGACTAAGGTGGATATCGAAAATTGATACATCACTTTTGTTCTTTCGATATCCCTTCGAATCTTATGATATCCATATTTGGCGTAATATCAAGGGATCAAATTATGTAAGTTGGAGATCAGTAATTTGGATATCTGAAAATTCTTGAATTAGAGGTATCGAAATAAAATCGTTGGGTTGAGGAGGATTCATGATTCAATTTTATCTCTTAATCACGCTTAATCAACAAAAGACTACTAATATGACTCATCCGTCATTATTCCCTCAAATTCCTTTTCCGCTTTTAATCCAATGATATCTTTTAACTCGCCTGATCAATTCAGAACCCCTTTTATCACCCGATATCAATACACTTATATCCCTCAAATCCACTTTTATCCAGCCACTTAATCACAATATACCTATCTCCTTAATCCTCAACAAATTTACGGTTCGATTTCGGTTAACAGGAAGTTTCGGTTCGGGTTTTCGTTTTATCGGTTCGGTTTCGGTTAACAAAGAATTAATTGAAACCGACAACCATAATTAGAGTAAATGAAATAATTTAATGAGTCTTTTATAATTTTTTCAAATATAGGGGAAAAATATTTTAGGAGGGAGTACTATTTTAGGGGGAGTACTAATTCAGGGGGGAGTACTATTTTTCAACCCTCCTCCAAAGGGGAGTATTATTTAAGGGGGGAGTGCTAATTCAGGGGGGAGTACTATTTTAGGAAATACGGTATATTAATTAATTAATTAAAAAATGGAGATGAAATTTTTTTGCAAAATTTTACAAAAAAAATTAAAATGATTTCAAAAAAAGAGTGGAAGTACAAATTTAAGGGGATTTCAAAATTTGGGGGAAGGGGGTGGCATTTAAAAATTTTCAAAAAATTTCTCAGTGGCAGTGATAATAAAAATAAATTATAAAATTTAAAAAATAATTAAATTAAAAAAATGGGAGAAATAAATTGACAAAATTTTAGAAAAAATTTAAAATGATTTTAAAAAATGAACGGAAGTACGAATTTAAGGGGTGTAACTAATTATTTCGAAATACCAACTTTTAAAATGTCATGCGACAAAATGCCACATCGACAAAATGTCAATTGACAAAATGCCAATGTCCAAAAGGTCACCTGATAAAATGGTATATTAAAAATGTCAAGCGACAAAATGCCACAGCGACAAAACGTCAAATGACAAAATGCCAATTTTCAAAATGTCATGTGACAAAACGCCAAATTTAAAATATTTACTTAAAAACTATTTCTCCATTAATAAAACATATCTATTATAAATCTATAATAAAAAATAATTAGTAATAAAAATTTAAACACCATTAATTAATTTTGTTATTTTTATAATATATCACAAATTTATCTAACATTCGATTTCTATTAAATAAATTTTCAACCTAATTTCATTAATATTGGATAATATTGTCACTTATAAAACATCATTTATTCTAATCTAAATATGGTTCATATTCCCTTTGATCCGCGAACTATCGGATACGATGACCACCATACAACTATTAGTCAAATAGGAGAAGGAACTGATGAAAATTATTACTATTTTCGTGGACTTAATCCCTATCAACGCGGATACGGGAGACAAGCTGGTGGCGGAGTCGGAGATGTACTTAGAAATTTTTGGCGTTTCCTTTTACCATATGCAAAACGGGCGGGTACAGCAGTAGCAAAAGAAGCATTGGATACTGGAGGAAGAATTTTGGAAAGTGTCGGGAATTCAGAATATGGCAATGATGAATTTAAACCAAATTTTAAGCAAGCAGTAATAAGTGAGGGAAAACGCGGATTGGACAGATTACTTGAGAAGGGTGGAATGCCAAAGCAGTTTGGAACCGGATTGCAAGGGAGGGATAGTATAAAAGGACGTAAAAGAAATCGTAAACCTCATTCAACATTTTCAAAGGAAAAAAGTCATCAAATCATTATTGGTAAACATCCCTCCCTTATACCAAAAAAGAAACGTCAAAAAATAGATACATTCGGTCTTTATTAAATAAAAATGTCTACTCATCAGAAAATTGATCGTGATTCTGGCAACGCAATAACAAATGCTTTATCATTTTTCGAAACTCCCCATACGAATGTCAGTATCAGCAATTCATCATTTATTGAATTACTCACACTTAACCCTGTAAATATCACCCCATTTCATTTTAAAATTCATGCAACTACAAATTATATCGATCTGGCCAAAACTTATGTTTTTACTGAGCTTAGGATTAAAAAAGAAGACAAAGAAGGAAAACTTGTTGATATAGGAAAGGATGATAATGTATCGGCAGTGCAACTTATAGGTCATACAATTTGGAAAAATTGCCGTATGCACATTAATGGAACTCAGGTTTTTGAAGGGAACTCCCTCATGGCATACAAAAGTATTTTTGACTACGAACTAACCTACCCACAAAGTGTAAAAAACTCTTATCTTTCTGTAGCGGGATATTATGATGATGGAGCTACACAAACATATCCAGGAGTTGATGCAAATGGATATGGAATCAAATCAAGGAAAAGATTATTCTTAGATGAAGATGGAAACCCGCGCAGTGCACAATTTATGGCCAAATTAGATGTTGATATTTGTAATCAGCCAAGATATTTAGTGAATCAATGCGAAGTTGATATTGAATTACTCCCACACGAATCAAGTTTCTTACTCAGTGCACCCTGGGACACTGCACCAAAATACCATTTGGAAATTTTGGCTTGCAAGCTATATGTAAAAAAGATTGAGCTAATGGACAGTTTAGCATTTGATATTGCAAAAAAACTTGAAATGAAACCTGCACGATATCCATTAAGGAAAACATCTTTAAAATCACTATTTATTAGTGAAAACCGAACAGAATTTAATGCTAATCTATGGATGGATCAGGTGCCTCGAAGAATTATATTGGGAATGGTTGGAAATAAAGATTTTGTAGGACAACAAAAGACAACTCCATTTTATTTTCAACATTTTAATTTGAGAGATATTTCTATAACTGCTGGGGGAGTTACTTATCCATCAGCTCCTTATTCCCTTGATTTTCCAAAAGGAAACTACGCTAGAATTTATCATGACATGCAAGAAGCTATAGGATACGCGGGATCTTTAGAAAGTAATGGTATATCTATGTTTCGGTATGCTTATGCAGGATATTGCTTTTTCGTATTTAACCTCACAAATAGTCAGGAAGATAATGGACCAGAGATGTTTGATTTGATAAAAAATGGTACAACTAGTATAAGAATGACATTTAATGAGGCGGTTCCAAGTGGTGGAATTGTACTAGTGGCCATGGGTGAAATTGATTCTCTGCTTATGTTAGATAGAAACAGAACAATTTCCACAGATATTTCAGTATAAATACACAAAATTTTTCCTCAAATTTTCATTTCCCATTTTATTTAAAAATGTTCCATATCACTATTAAAATTGAATTTAGCATTGTTTTAATTATTTTATTTTTCTTTTTGTATAAATTATCACAACAGTATTCTATGACTAATGAAAATGATAATCTAGAATATAGAGAAAAATTACGAGAATATATAGGCTATTATGCAAATACAATACCACCATCAGTTGAAATTAATAATACAACAAAATTCTCAATTTTTCCTGAAAGATTTAAAAATAATATCGGTCTAGCTTCTACATTTAACCCAGACAAAAATATTACAATTTTGGATTTATGGTCAATGGAACATGTGAATAATGTACAAATTCCTTCCATTTGCAAAGATTTTCCTTCATCAGAAACTTCATTAGCTCAGGCTATTTACTGCATTTCATTAATTTTACTCTGGCTTTTATTATTAGCTACAGCTTTAGCCTATCAACTTAGAAAATTTCTAAAGATTAAAACCATCAACAAAGACATTGAACTTGGAGAGATACAAAGAGAGATATAAACATTTTCTTCCTTTACAGAAATGGACACCTTACAAATCGAGAAAATATTATCACAAAATAGAATTACAAGAAGTCATTTTATTGGATGCTTTGCCGCAGATAAAATCCCACAAGATTTTCAAAAATATCCTTGCTCAATGGTCGTCAACTTTGAAAAATCTTCTCAGAAAGGATCACATTGGATTGCATTTTTCATAATAAACCCCGAGAATATATTAATTTTTGATTCAATATTACTCCCCAACCCACCAATTTCAATTAAAAATTTCCTTTCTAAATTTCCAAACCGTGTAATTAATAATGTACCAGTTCAAAACCCTCTTTTACCCACATGTGGACAACATTGTATCACTTTTATTTATTTTATTTCGTCTGGATACTCTTATAAAAAATTCCTAACACTATTATCAAATTATTCAAATCCAGACGAATTCGTTTTTTCTTTTATTATTAAAATAATTAAAAATATATAAAGTATTACAATTTTTAAAAATAATTTTGATTTAATTAAAATCTTAACATTCTGTTAAACATTAGTGTAATAATTACAGTTCCGTGATCAAACTTTACTAGATTTCCGTTCATCCATCTTAGTTCAATTTCAATCTCATTAATCTCTCTAGGTAACACAGGTATGAACATTGGCTGATCATACACTCGTTCAACAACACCGCCGGACCTATTCTCAACAGCCACAATTCTTAGTAACGAACTGACCGAATTTCCCATTATTACATTACTCGTTAATCCTTTTGAATAAACAGCAAAGCTTGTGAATCCTCCTTTTAGATCAATTCCATATTTTCCAATTTGACCGTTTACCAATTGTCCCATGGGGAAGCCGAGAACATAACATAATTGCGAAGATATAATTATATTGCTAATCTCAGGATCATTAAAAATTACTCTAAAGCGATCAATACTGTCCAAATATTCAAATTCAATGTCTGAATGTAAATCTTTCGCCTGAGATTCCTTTTCTTTAATCAAAGTAACTGTCTTTTCTTTAATTAGATCATCAGTATTTTGCTCATACTCTTTCTCATCAAATATCTCCTCTGTTGGTACAATTTCTTCTGTTGAATCCAAATCTAATACTGGACTTCCTCTGCTTTTCTCCTCCCATCTTTCTTCCTCTTTTTCGAAAGTTTCCTCCTCAGCTACATCTTCCTCTTCACTTATTGGGTGCTCAAGGGGTAGAGGATCTCCATGTTTGTCTATTTTTCTTGCATGTTTTAATTTCTCCTTGCTTTCTCTCAGCTCTTTATCTTTTCTTTCGTTTTCCTCTGTCTCTCTGGCCTTGTCCTGCTCATACCCATGTCTGTCCTTGACAACTTCAACCATTTCATCTGTAATTACGGGAGCAGGAATTGCAACTGGCTTGCCTTGATCATCAACCTTTAGGACATCTTCCAAATATTCTGGATGTGTTTTCTCTTCAATTTTTTGCATCTCCTTAATTTCATTTTTAGTTGGTGGAATTGGCAGCTCAAAATTTTTCCATTTCTTGTAGGCCGCATGATGTATCGCTGTAAATCTATTTCGTCTGTATGAAGCCAATTTATTTAAATTGTCAATCTCCTTATTTAATTTATTCTTTTCTTCTTCATCTTGTTCTTGGGAATGTAAATCTCTTTTTTCTCGAATTTGTCTGTGTAATTCCTGCAGATCACCTAAATTTTTCTTCAAAGCTGCCCAATGATCTTCAGGGTGGTCGTCAAAAAATTTTTGGACAAATTCTGAGTGAGTATTTGAATTTTGCTGATTAAACTCATCTCTAGTAATTTTCAAATCTTTTTCAATAATAACAGATTCTATTGCTTCCAAATTTTTTCTCATACGTTTTATTGAATTAATAAACCTCCGAATCTCATCACCAGAACGAGCATTCTTACCCGCATCCCCTCTGCTTTCTCTTATTTTGTCTTCAAGTTCAATGTATCTTAAAATTATATTTATTTCCATCTTTATTACTTGTTCGTGATAATCATTTGAATGTTGTTCCAGAAACTGATTTGCTATTAGTTGATCATCACGCCTGTCTCTCTTATTAGCCTCCTCTGTTAAAAGACGAATTTCATTCTTTTTTCCTTCTGAAAGGGAATGTAGGTGATCAAGTTCTTGTTGTAATTCTTCCTTCTTTGTTTCATCCTCCTCATTAAGAACTTGTTTTGTTTTTTCCTCTACTTTAACTTTGTGTTGTTCTAATTCTTGTTCATAATCGCGTATGGCTTCCCAGTAATTGTGAGGGTACTGATTAAAAAATTCCTTTACCCATAATGGTACACTATCTGCTTCACTTGCCTCCCTTTTTCGTCTTTTCTTAGCTGCGTCCACCACTAAATTAATTTCTGGGTCAATGATAATTTCATCCTCAATTGTCTCGATTGAAACATCACGTCTTTTCCTAGACTTTTCCTTGTTGGATAAAACAAGTTTTAGAAAGAAGCTGAGACCGTTCGGTGTTAGTTGTGTTGTTTTGGGAATACCAATTCTATGTGGTTTCTTGTTTTTGTAATTAATTTCGATCCATTGTTTAACATCGGTGCCAATAGTTGCAGCCCACGACTGGGGGTATTGGATACTGTAAAGCCCACATACCCAGTTTCCACCTTGAAATTCTATTGGTTTCGGCAGATGTACTCGATATTTATTGGGTTTATTATCTGGGTAATCACTAACATTACTTGGAAGAACAACAAAGAATGTATTAGCCATTATTTATTTCAATAAAAATTATAATAATAATAAATTGAACAATAAAAGTGAAAATGATTACAAATGATTTATGGGGAATGAAAAATAGGGGTTTTATACAAACTGATTTTCATCTATCCACTGGGGTTGAGGATAATCAAAAAATTTAACAAAAAATTCTTTACTCCCATCTTTTTTCTTTCTGCTTTTAATAATCTTCTCAATTCTGTAACTAGTATTTTCATCTTTTCTTACTTTTGTTAGTTCCTCAGGGTAGAAATATCCTTTAAATAATTCTCCATTATCGTCACGGACACGGTATCTATTTGGATTAGCCTTCTTTTTAACAAGGTCTATCTGAAGGATTTCATCACTGTAATTTGGCAGATAACCCTTTGAAAAAATATTTTTACTTCTGCTCATACGCACATGATCATTTTCATTAAAGCGCGGTTTTTTTTGAAGATTACTTTTCCCAATAGGTCCAAATACCATTTCTCTTATTTTCTTTGCATTGTTAAATCTCACATCAACTGGTCTTAATCCACCTAAAACCCTACACTTTGAATGATTTATTGCGTCTACTATCTTTGGTAATGCTTCTGTCCATTTTAAAGTATGTTTCTCACTCATAAATCTGTATAATCTCTGTTTAATGTTCCGAATACATCTTTCAGCTAGAGATGCTTTAACTGATGAAAAGGTTGCCGTGTATTTCTCAATATCTTTTTTCCTAAAGAAATCCATAATTTCTTTGCTGCAGAATTCTGTTCCCTTATCGCTGAAAATTCGGTGAGGGTGCATTTCCATTCTTGCCAAAATTTTTTCAAAGGCATCAATCATATCATTTGATTTTTTAGTGCGAACAGGTTCAGCGAAAACTCTTTTACTTAAAACATCTATTGCAACAAGTGCATATTTTTTTCCATTATTTTGCCGCGATAATTTTTGAAAATCTGCCAAGTCACACTGAACATCTGTCATATATCCAGATGGATATGTTATTGATCTTTTAAAATGCACACGTCTAGGACGGTGAATTGTATAAGTTCTATTTCCTTCCAAATATTCCTCAACATCCTTCTTTTTAATACTTGCATCTTTTTTCCGAGCCTCTATCCATAACTGGTTTACACCAGCAAATCCGGCTGGATTCGCTGGATCATTGTAAAGTTTATCTAAAATCATTTCCATTCTGCTGGAAGTCTCCATTTTGATTCAGCTATTTCTTTGGATTCAGGTATTTTTCTTTTTTGTTTTGAATAAGTTCTTTTTGGAGTACAGCTTTCTCGTGCCTTCTCTATCAATGGCCAAATTTTTTGATCACTTTTTAGCTTATTTTCTAAAACTGATGTTCCTGGAGGTGTCAATTCACCCCATCTCAATTTTCCACTGATTCCTGTTCGGAGTATGCACTCTATGGATTTTTGTGCATTGCTTCCCTGTATTTCTTTACCTCCCTTCCTACTTAGAATCTTTCCATCTGTGCTCACATCATATTTATCAAGATTCTCTTGCTTCATACTTTCAAATATTTCTTTTGTTTTTTCTTTTATTGCTGTCTTTTTTGGTTCAGTTTTCCTTCTGGAATCCGGAGATTCCTCATCGGCCGTATGCATACTAAGCTCATTTTCATTTAAATCGGCACCATCTTCTAGATGTGGAAATTTTGGTGTGGATTTATTTTGTTTAAGTAGTTGTTGCTTACTTTCATTGGAGTCTGTTTGGAGTAGGGGAAGTAATTTTTTGATTTGCTCCAGAGCTGGATCTTCCATTTGTCTTATTGAAACATTCATTGGTCTCTCATTTTGGTCCTTCAACATGTGTAGATAACGTCTCAATTCCTGATTATAATTTATATTCTTTAATTCCTTGTTGGCATTTTGACTTTTAATATTTTCCAAATTTTCTCGTGTAAAATCCAAATTAATATTTCCTGTTTCTGGTGTGGGTTGAGTAAGTAATCCGCGATATATATCTTCAGGAACTAATATAAATTTATTTGCCATTTTTATTAATTGCTTGTTAATGTTTTTGTTAATTCAATAATGATTGGTGTTAAAAGGGCAGGAAACAATCCGATTGGTAAACCGCTTCCTTTTTGTATTACTGTACGTCGGGCTCCTCTTTCTGTTTTTAATCTACTCACTCGACGAACAAAATCAGCGAATGGTAGAAGACGAGATTTTTGTCTTTTAGTTAATTTAAATTGACTGCGTATAATATTAAAACAAATTTCAGTGAGAGAAAGTAATTGGCCGGTTGAAGCTTTTTTTAAAAAACGTCTTCTTTTAGTTAGTGA